ATATCTATTGGTAGTATTTTGGGAGCTCAGCAGCTGAAATGTGTATCACCCACTCTCAGAAAAGAAATATGCACCTTATAATATAATTGGGTTCTTAAAAAACCTGAGCAATAACAAATAGAAAGCAATTAACAAAATGATGTACGTGTAATTGTAAGGTAGATGACTTTATGCTAAATTCGTTACAAACTGATCACTGTGTATGCTTTTTGTTGGGATGGTAAATCTGTGGTCCTCCAGATATTGTTGGACTCCAACTCCCATCATCCCTAGCCAGCATGGCCAATGGTCAGGGATTATGGGAATTGTAGTCCAGTGCAGGTCTAGAGGCTCCCAATTTAAGCATCTTTTGATACCTGGTTGATTAGTTACTGAGCCTTGGCTCATTACTAGGGTATGAGGAGATCTGCATACATGCCAATGAGCAATTGCTGTTTTTCTATCTCTGGCAGAAACTGCAACACTAGGGGAGAAGCCTTGTATGGTTTCTTAGCAACGGCAGGATGCACTCCCACCCATTTGGGGCTGATCTGGAAGTGGTTAAGGAGCATGTCATCCAGTTACTAGGCAGCTGCAAAGGACTTTGTTTAAAGATTCGAATTCCCATTCAGTCAACTCCACCAACCAGAAGCAAGAGAAGGGAGGAGATCCAAGTGCAAGCATGACCAGGGCTGTGTGTGCTAAAATAAGCAAAATTCTGCATCCAGGTAACCCCAGTTCTGTGCCAAGAAAAGCTGATATCTGCAATCTGTGTAAATTAAGCACCTTTACATGGTTTCTTTTATTTTGTGTCATTTGTATATCTACTTCTGGAAGTGACGGGGAAGAGTGATAGCAACCTGTGTGGTGGGACAGGACTACAGAACAGCCATCCCATCACCAGCATCGGTGTAGCTTCGCTGAACGCGGCTCTGGTGGAGCAGCATTGTGGTGAGGTCTGGGCTGTGCAGATGCACCGGCAGAGCCAAACCAGCACCCCTGTCAGTGCACCCACACAGCTGCGATCTCCCCACCACCCCGCCCCAGCCCTGCCCATGTGAACTGCGATAATGCTGGTGGCAGGAGGGTTGCCCCTCCCCACCACACTGGCTGCTACTGGGAAGGAGCAAAGAGATATGCAAAGGAGACTGAAGCTCCACCCAATGATCACTAAAGAGCTCTATCAGCCGCTCCAATTGGTATCCAATAGCCAGCTCTGCACAGTTCCTCTCATTACGCAGAATAGCAGTGTTCCTGCAGCCCTGGCCATGGCTTTGGAATCTGTCCCCTGAATTAGGCCTCCTTCAGACACTCATCCAGTCATGCAGGCAACCCATGCGACTGGCCTTGCCCAAGTGGTTCCTGGAGTTTGCACACATTGCACACCTGGGGGGGGGCCCACACCTTAACAAATGAGCTCCCACATGCCTGGTTGAGTATGTGAAGACAGCTCAGTTTCCACGAATTTTGGGGAAATAGGAAGGGATTAGGTTTACCCCAGCTTACGTATTGGATTGAAGTAATTGCTATATATTTTTGTAAATTTGAGTGTTTGGGCATACCATGTGGGGGTTTTCACTTCCCCCCACCTTGAACAGTGGTAATTCCCTCCTGTCCAATGTCACAAGCTGCTTTTGCAATTCCCTTCGGTTTTTAAGCAGTTTGCTTTGTGGCATTCTGCTGATGGCAATGCTTGTTCAACAATCCCAAGCCCAAAGCCCTGTTGAGTGTGCATAACACAACACCCAGTTACTTAACTCTTGGCTGATGATTACAATTACAAGAGCAGAGATAAGGTTGATTCTAGTGGGGACAGGGGGGGGTCAGGTGGATGGGAACGTGTCTCTTCTGGGAAAACACACACACCTGAATCACTTGGCACAAGACATTCAGCAACATGCTTCCCTCAAAAACAATTCATTTTAGGAAGGATTGGTTTGTCTTATGGTCTTCAGAGCATTTTATAATTTTGCATGGTTACAGTGCCATTGTTGACTCCTCATCTCCTACAAAAGGGAACGTCTTCATGCATCAGATCTTCCAGAACAGAAATTAACACATGCAGAGCATTCTAACAGATTATAGCTGAGTTCAGGGGGTTCTCCTTGCTAAAATGAGACAAGATTATGAAATGAGACAAGGTCATGAAAACAGGGCTAGGCGGTAATGGTAGAACCAGTGGAGATGCCAGGTTTATGAACAGTGACAGATGAGATACAGTTTATAGAGTCAGCAGATTCAGGGGTAAACATTTCCTGGACTGTATCTTACAGAAGAGAAATAGCATGTTTGGTCCTATCTTGGGGCGGGGATGGGAACTCCCTGCACATACAAAAACTGAAGTGATTAAAGTGTTTAAGACAAAGAAAGATAGATCTTTGCTGTAGATCTGGGTTCTCAAAACTTTTTCAAAGAGAACTTTCTTAAAGCAGAGGTTAACCAATGTATTAACAGGCAAGCAGTATATGTCCAAAACACCCCATATTTCAGAGGAATTTCAGGAGGAGATGAGCTGCAATTTCACTACTTGTCTGTGACATGTTACTATATTTACATAAGTAATAGTCACACAGAAGTTCCATTGTGGGAATACTAGTACAGTCATCATAAAATATTGTCTAAATTCCTCCGCATCAGCACCAAGCACAGCTTTGGGCTCAGGAGCCTGCTTCAGGACCCTGGACAGCTCTCCATCCTTTCCAACAGCTTATTGCGCCATACTCATTCAGGATCTTGGAGGTGAAGTAAATAAAGTAAAATATATTAATAAATGCAGATTTATTTTATTTTGCTATCACATCCTGCGAGCAGCATTGGATTGGGAGGCCCCAGACAGTGTACATCTTGTTTATAGCCTTAGACACTGGTGGGTACATTGATTGTTTGGTATCTCAAAGCTTTAATTTAGGAGTGTCAGTTACCCAGCTGTTAAAATATGCATTCATACATGCATTCAGCAAGCATTCATGCAGTATATTCCTTAATCAATATGTAACAATTAAAGTTTAATATTGTGCTTAACTTCTTAAAGCATGGGGGGGCGGACTGGAGACGTCCCCTTGTTACTCAGCCCCAGGCAGCACTTATGCAAACCTACAGACTCCCCATGAGGCTTGCTGTCTGAGCTGGGGACAAAGTCGTGTCCTGGACCCCAGCAGTTGTTCCCCATCCTGCTCTAAACACTATGTAAAGGAATCCTCCCTCAGAATCAGGAATAAGCATGTAGTCCCCACCTGTTTATGGGGAAAGAACACTCTCTGGGACCAGTTTGGTTTACATTTGAGGTCTAATGAGGGCAAGTTCACGCATTCAATGGATTTCCATTGAATTGAGTGATAATTTCATTGGATCACATCACTTCAGCTACAGGTGTGTGTTCATGTTTATGCGTTCCCTCAAAAAACACTCTGCATGCAGAGAAATAGCGTATCAAGGAAAAGGTTTTAGAACAAAGAGTTTTGTAATATTTTTAGAAGTAATAGTATTATTTAATACTGTAAAGACTAACTTTTTCTGGCAGAAACCTTGTAGGCCACAGTTAGTTTGTCAGATGCATGAAGTGAATGAAGTGAATCTCAAGTGAATGGGTTTATCATGAATGGAAAGAGAAGGAGAAAATGTTTGTGTGTGTGTTTTACCAAGCAGAGCAAGAGATAGCAGGCAAGTGTGTTACAGTATCTGAAGGAGCGTCTCCACCTCCATCATTCTGCCTAGATGCTGAGGTCCAGCACCGAGGGCCTTCTGGTGGTTCCGTCACTGCGAGAAGCCAAGTTACAGGGAACCAGGCAGAGGGCCTTCTCCATAGTGGCGCCCACCCTGTGGAACGCCCTCCCACCAGATGTCAAAGAGAACAACAACTACCAGACTTTTAGAAGACATCTGAAGGCAGCCCTGTTTAGGGAAGCTTTTAATGTTTGATGTATTATAGTATTTTAATATTTTTTTGGAAGCTGCCCAGAGTGGCTGGGGAAACCCAGCCAGATGGGCGGGGTATAAATAAATTATTATTATTATTATTATTATTATTATTATTATTATTATTATATCACAGAATTGACTCAAATGAATATAAGTTGTTATGAACATGGATGTGACCTACTGTCAACTACTGACCACTGGTGATGAATTGACCTAGCAAGAGCAGTGCATGAGAGAGAGAGAAAGTATCTCAGGTGTATTACAGGAAATGGGAGAAAATATTAAAGATGGCCATTCCTTTTATAAAGTAGTAGCTTTTGTTTATTAAACTGTTATTTGTATATTTACTTATCACATTTTTATCCCACCTTTCCTCCAAGGTGCTCAAAGTGGCATGCACGGTCCCCTTCCTCCCCGTTTTATTCTCACAACAGTTCTGTGATGTACTTCAGGCTGAGAGACTGTGACTGGTCCAATGAGCTTCATGGTCATGGGGAGATTCGAACCCAGGACTCTACACCTTGGGTTGTAGAGGGCCATACTGGAAACAAACAAACAAACAAACAAACAAACAAACAAGGGATTAATAAATGAAAGGGGCTGCGCGGGTGGGGGAGAGAAACATCCAGGTTATGTTTGCGCAGATGTATGTATGTGGCAAGGTTGTCTTTTTAATTTTCTGCTAACACCCATGTTGCCTTTCTGACAGGTTCTCTTTCTGCAGTGGGGAGACCTGTGGCGCCACACTCTGACAAGGACTTCTCCTCTGCCTCTTCCATGGCTTGGTCCCCTGGCTGGCCTCTATAACATTTTGTGGCCCCTCCATCTGGGGCTCTGTAGGATGAACAGAGGACACCACTGTGACTGAGCAGGTAAGCAGGGAAGCTGAGCAGGTTACTATCCGGGGCATGGGGGGGGAATCAAAGTTATTTCCTGGAATTACTTCCTTTCCTTCCAATGAACGGCTTTTCCTGTTCCATCCCCACAGGTTTCTCCTTCTGTCTACCAGGCTGACCTAGCCCAAGGCAACTCTTCACCCCCTGCCCCCTTTCCCCACACCTTTGCCCAGCGTAGCTCAGCTCAGCTGCAGCTTCACCTCCACCATGGGAGACATGGCCAACAGCTCCGTGGATTTCTACCCCAAAAGCCAACGGCGAGAGTTGAACCATGCGGGCGGCTTTGGCTGCACCCTGGCGGAGTTGCGCTCCCTCATGGAGCTGCGTGGGGCCGAGGCAATCCAGAAAGTCCAGGAGACCTACACCGATGTCAATGGGCTCTGCAGGAGACTCAAGACCTCCCCCACTGAAGGTACCAGGCTTTGGGTAGGGCTGGGTGGGCAGAATAGGCAGGCAGTCCCCACAGTCTCCCATGCATAAGAACAGAAGGAGAGAGTCTGCTGGCTCAGGGAATCAAATCCAGGATCCTGTTCTCAGTGGCCAACCAGATTCGTGCGGGGATCTGGCAAGCAGGACCCAAGCGCAAGAGCCCTGACCCTTTCTGTGGTTTCCAGGAACTGGTATTCAGAAGCATTACTGTTGTTCTTGTTGTTTAGTCGTTTAGTCGTGTCCGACTCTTCGTGACCCCCTGGACCAGAGCACGCCAGGCACTTCTGTCTTCCACTGCCTCCCGCAGTTTGGTCAATCTCATGCTGGTAGCTTCAAGAACACTGTCCAACCATCTCGCCCTCTGTCATCCCCTTCTCCTTGTGCCCTCCATCTTTCCCAACATCAGGGTCTTTTCCAGGGAGTCTTCTCTTCTCATGAGGTGGCCAAAGTCTTGGAGCCTCAGCTTCAGGATCTGTCCTTCCAGTGAGCACTCAGGGCTGATTTCCTTCAGAATGGATAGGTATGATCTTCTTGCAGTCCATGGGACTCTCAAGAGTCTCCTCCAGCACCAGAATTCAAAAGCATCAATTCTTCGGCGATCAGCCTTCTTTATGGTCCAGCTCTCACTTCCATACATCACTACTGGGAAAACCATAGCTTTAACTATATGGACCTTTGTCGGCAAGGTGATGTCTCTGCTTCTTCTTTTTTACTACCTCTGACATTTATGACATTTGTTCACACAACCCTTACACACCAGTCCAAAGCCACAGCTACAGTGAGAGCTTGAAAACTTCTGGCCAGATTCGGAATGTTTCAGCAGGCTACTTCCTTGAATTTGGGGCTTTGTAGTTTTGTTTTATTTATTGCTTTTAGCCCTTTTATTTAGGCTGCACACACCCCATGCCTTTAAAGTGCATTTAAAGTGCATGATTTCTCCCAATCCTGGGAATTGTAGTTTGTGAAGGGTGATGGGGGGTTGCAGGGATAAACTACAGTTATTGGACTACCCACATTTAGCTTTCTTTGCTTTCTTTGACTCATGCAGTTTAAACTTAAACCCCAGATCGCAAAATGTCTGTTCTCTTACTTGTTAAGAAACCTGTATCTCTCCACCCGAATTGCCCCCAATCTGTAGCGCTGGGGATACAACCTCAGAGCCTCCAGATTGTCCTGCTCTGTGAGAACAGGACCCAGGAGCACTGGCTCTTAAACTTGCCAATTTTTGAGACTGCCGGCTTTTTAACATGCTTCTGCTTCTGACCCTTTAGTGGCAGCTCTGCAGCAAACAAGCAAGTGATAATATTTGCCTCCAGTGTCTTTTTAAAACTCCACTTGCTGATTTCTCATTATCATACTTTCATTAGAGGAATGGAACAGTCCAGTCTGTCCCATCTCAACCTAATTTTACATGTTTTGAAATGTGTTAAATGTGCTTTTATTTTATTTTTGATCCTTTTATGTTTGCCACTCTGGGCTCCTTTGGGTGGAAGAGAAGGATATAAATTTAATTAATTTATTAATAACAATGGTGTTGTTGTTGTTGTTGATGATGATGATACTTTTTATTATCACCAGCAAATCTTATTTTTATCCCAGAATTAATAGGAGCCAATGATCCTGGCTCCTAGAGTGCCATAGTCCAAAGGTGGGGGATGTTGGATGTTGTTGGAATGCAACTCCCTGTCCTCCTGGCATTTGTCCCTGCTGGCTGGGGCTGGTGGGACTTGGAATCCCCAAAACAGGAAGGATTAAACTATGCTATGTGCATGGAATGAGGTTCACTTGCACCTTGGAGTGCAAAAAGCATGCATGGCGTGGGGAAGTGGATTGAGAGAAGTTTTTTCTCCATCTCTCACAGTACTAGATCCCCGGGTCACCCAATGAAGCTGAACTATGAGAAGTTTAGAGCAGGCAAAGAGGACTTCTCCACCATAGTTAAAACAATGAAATGTTCTGAGATGTGGTGATGGCCAGCGGTTCCGCTTTGAAATGAAATTAGACCGATACTTGGAAGACAAGGCCCTCTATGGTTCTTTGCCATGATGGCTTTATATTACCGCAGGGGCAGTCTGCCTCATGAATACCAGCAGCAGGAGAAGGCTATTGGCCTCGTGTGCCTGAGCTTCCCATAGACATGCAGTTGGCTCCTTTGGTCTGATCCCTCTTCTTATCATGCTGAGATGCAGCTACTTCTCAGTTGTGGAACAAGACCAGCTGTTTATTACAGTTTGTTTTAGTCTTAGACTGACAGGCATATCTTCATGGCAATTTCTAGGTTTAAGTATAGTGAATCACTTTGGCATGATTATTACTATTATTGTTATTGTTATTTATAATCTAACTGATGTTCATCTGTTTAGTCAATTCTGCTGCTGCGTTTGCGATTCAGAAGCAAAATTGGCTGATGGATTGCTGGAGGCATAAACGCTGAAAATTGATTCGTGTTTTGCAGACTTCCAATTCAGACTTTGGAAGTGTTGTTTCCTTCAGAGATAATAGGGTCAGGGCCAAGGTACTGCTAAAAAGCAAGCATTAGTCATCCTCTGCAAACGCTTGGAAATAAGTCCAGTTGAACGCAATCCGAGGTTTGGTCTATGGGCACAAGAATGAGGTGAGGATGAATCAGCTGAGCCATGAAAACAACGCAGCATAGAAAGTTGTCTTACTCTGAGTCAGACCATTGGTCCACCTTGCTCAGTATCAACCAGTCCTACCTGGAGATGTCAGGGACTGAACCTGGGACCTTCTGCATGCTAAGCTACGACCCGTCCCCAGGCAGCAGAATGGTCAGTACCCCCTTTAGCTTTTGAGCAGATGAGACATTCTTCCTAGTAAATGTGTTTAGGATGTGTTAAGGGAGTGAAGGCAAAGGCTGAGCAAAGCTTGTGAGGTTTCACTCCCAGTATAAATGGATAGAAGTGGAGCTGTGCCACCTTTAGCTTCCAGCTTCTGCTTCCCTTGACACAGCAAGGGAACTGGGCTGGTTGGCCATCAAAGGTTAATACAGACAGGCGCTAATAGCCAACTGGGTTTGATTTGGTAGTCCATGAAAAGAAGGAAGCACACCCCTCCTGCGGGCAGCTTGACCCAAAGCTTGCTATCCTTCTTTGATGGTTGCATAAACCAGTGTCTTTGCCTAGGCCACGGTTCATCAAAGGGAGAAAGTGAGCTCTGCCTTTCCTTTTTGATCCTCTCTGCCATTCAGCATTGACATTTAAAAGCTCTGGTGTCAGAAATGGATCCCCTCCTGCTTCATCATCTGTTCAGTTCTGACTTCGTGGCAAGGGAAGAGAGAAGGGGCAGAGTATCTGTTGTGCATGCAGAAGGCCCCAGGGGAAACCCCTGCCAGAAACTCTTGAGAGCTGCTGCCAGCCAGTGTAGACAATACTGACTAGGTGGACCAACGGCCTGACTCCATATAAAATGGAATTCTATGTTCCTAAGACTTGACAGTAAGTTTATGGTGAGAAAGTGGAAAAGAAACTTCACTCACAGAGCTTCACTCACAGTAAAACCATGGCACTCAAAGAACTAGCCAGGGTTCCCTGAGGATAGTGCGGACACTGATTCCTCCCTGATCCCATCTCATCCAGTTGTTTTGCAACAAGTTTTCAGACCCATGTTCAAACTTCCCCTCTCCTTACCACTCTGACTTACAGGGGCAACCATGTGGGCCGGTCAGTGGGTGTGGTTCCAGAGGCAGAAGGGATGATTTAGCTCTTATACCTGAGGACCCCCACATTGCTTTCCCCTCCTACCCCACCTTGGCACTGCAATCTCTGCCGTGATTCCAAATACTGTCTCCCATATATAAAGGAACTATACCTCCAGTTACCAGATGTTGGGGGGAAACAACAAAGAATTGCCCCTAACTGTCTTGTTCCTTTGTGAGTTTTCCGGAGCAGTGTTCAAATGGGGGGGAGGGAGAGAAAGGGAAAACAAAGGCCAGTGCCCTACCTTTTCAGACAGCCACTTGGCTCCTGTCTGAGAAGATTAAGGGGCATGATTTGGCTAACAATGGGGGGAAATAATTCACAATTTCATTAAAAGCCCCCTTTCTCCCCACTACAACCCATTTGAACACTCTCCAAGATGCACCCAGTTGCTGGATAGAGCACTAGACTAGATGGACTCAACATAGGCAGCTCTAACACTATTAGGACCTTTGGCATTTGTGACTCATTCACTGGCTATTTCTGTCTGGGTTGAAGATTTTCATAAAACCCGGGTCACTGAAAGGTGGAAGAAGAGAATAGTCAGAGGAGACATGTCCCAGCTGCACTGTTAAAGCTAAGTGGGTGGGGTCGTGACTTAAATCACTCTGAGCAGATGTAAGTAAGATAGCAGGTGAGTGAATGGGTAGGTTAGTGTATGTCTGAATTAACAGCTATGTATGAATGCGTGTGTGTAAGGGTGGGTGTGGATGTGTGCTTAATCTGCCTGTTGGTCTGTCCCTCAGCACAGTGAAGGGTGTGAAAAGAAAGAGTGCCTCAGAACACATGCAGAATATATTTCATTTAGCAGCTAGTGAGTGACCAAAGACAGCCCTCACACCTCTGGGTTTAGGGGCAGGATATCCAGTCTATCGAAGGCATTTCTCTGAGGTGTGGGGGTGGTTTGTTTTTAAAGACCTGCCCCTGACCATGGTTAATGGCCAGCATCTGCTATAGGTTCAAATCTTGGCATGCCCATGTTCGCATCCCTCTTCCCTTTGTCTGTGTGTGGGGAGGCAGTGGGGGCTTGCTCTGCTCAGGCGGTCCCCTCTTAGCCCCCTGTAAAGCTCCTTCCTCTGAGGGCAATGGTGCCTGGCGAGGAGACCTTCAGAAACTGCCAGAAGATTCATGGCAGACTGGTCCAGCCGCCTGCCTGCCTCTCTCCCTTTGCCGGTTTCCCCTTGAATTGTCCTTGAGGTTGCGGCAGCAGCAGCAGCAGCCGGTACTGTCTCTCTGCTGCAGGGAGCTAAAGGCTTCTTTCCCCATCACACAGAGAGGAGAAGGGAAGGAGAAATCAGGCAAATGAGGAGGGCAGCAGGTGCCTGCAACTGAGGAGGAGCAGGGGAGGGAGCGGGAGCTGTCTGAGCAAGGCTTTGGGGAGGAGGAAGTGGGGAGAGAAACAGGGAGCATTCCAAATGCAATGGTTGCTGGCAGGTTGTCTGCATGAGGGGATGCAAAGGAAGGCTCCAGGGCTCCTGTACTTTTACTTCATGGGTCCAGATTTGGATGGTGTCACTTCCCCCCCCCCTCCATCCCATGCAGCAAGCCACACCTGCTGATAGTTCCTCTTCCATCCATCCATCACTGATAACAGGAGTCCTATCTTTAGGCACTTCCAGCCTGTCACTATTTCGGGGTGGGATTCAATCACACACTGGCAAATTCAGGACTTCTCCACACTTACATTTCCTCCGCGCTCTCCAGCAGAAAACCCAAACTGCCATTTGTTGTGTGTCAGCTTTGAAAAGCAGGTTTTCACAGGGAAAGGAAAAAAAAAAAAGGTGCTCAGACATGGAGCTTTAAAGCTGTGCCTGGAAAGAGCAAGGATAAAGGGGAGTATGGATAAGCCCCCACGATGTGCATTTGCAGCTGATTGGGGAAACTTGCTCAGTAAACCCAATTCTGCAAAAAATATCAGGCTTCCTGCATGAGGAAAGTGGTGGGAAAATGCACTGGGAAGTGTGGGACAACACTTGCCTTGATGCATCTGTCTTCCTGCCTCCCCACAAACCAATCAGAATGAACAGTCAGTAAACAGTCAGCACCATCTAATCTCCCTGCAGACAAATCAGGCTGAACACTCAACAAGCAGGTCTTCTAGAAGTGAACCCCCCCCCCCCCCCGCCTCTGGCCACTGCACTGTTTTTCTGACCAAAATCCACACACACCCAGGCTGCTATTTCCCCAAGAGGAAAAAATAGGAGGTAGAAGTGCAGCTCGGGGAGGGGGGGATATTGGTCAGGAAAATGGCCTGAGGGGAAAGGGTTAAACATACACACATACACACACACACACACACACACACACAGTTCTTTCCCTCCTTCCCCAAACTGCTTCTCCAGTCAAAGTCACTTGCCCACCCCTTGAGGCTGGATTTCAGGGAACAAGCAAGGGTCCAGTTCAGGGAACTGTTTGTGGGCATTGCATGTCACCTCTGATCGGTGTTTTTATAAACGAGGCTTCAGTCTCATTTATAAGAGGTGCTATACCGTCCTACATCACAGGGTGCTAGTTTAAGAATTCCTGATAATAATGTGTGTACAGTGCTTTGGAAACTTTGCATGTTGTAAATCGAAGTAGTGTGTGCACACACAAAATCCTCCAGATTAAACAGAACAACAAAGTCAAAAGAGACCCAAAGGCCAAGTGGTTAAGTGTCACCCCAGCTCAGCCACTCTGTGTTAGAGGCCTCACTGCCAGGACCAGCTCCGGACATTTTGCTGCAAACGCAACCCAAGTCAAAGTGCCTTGTACCTAGGCTGGTTGATTGCTGTTGGCAGCTAAGGCACAACATCTTACGAGCTCCTCTCCCTGGGAGCAAAAAACAAATAATAATAAATTTAAAAGTCACATGGTGCTGTCTTGCTGTGGCTTTCAAAATCAGCTGTGTGAGATAGTTTCCTCACTCTGCCTAATAGTAGGGCCAGCCCTGTTCACGGCCACAAGTGGAATATAATATTTGCTGAAGGTAGAATTGCTCTAAGCATCAAGTGTGACTGAAAAAAGTCATCCTTTTTCACCAGGGGGAAGTCCCCATCCCGTACTTGGAGTTTCTCAATGTGTGAGAGGGAGCAAACAATTTGATTGGAGGGAGTGATGGTGATTCAGATCTGCCTGCAGCACTACAAAATCCAAGTTGAATGTTCAGGGGGAGAGAAGCAATAGCATCAGAGACAGGAAAATGTCAGTAGATCCCTTCTTGGCCTCAAACTTCTCAGGCATCTGTGCCATCTTGTCCATCAAACAGCAACTCTCTCCTTGACTCTCTTTATTACAATCACCCCCAAAATACTTTGGGCACAGTTCCCCTGCACGCTTACCCAAACAAGTCACGCTGTGTTCAGGAGAGCTTACACCTTAGCAAATGCATTTAGAATTGCAGCTTTATTATGTAGCACCATCAAGGTCTATGGCATTTTGTTTTCTAATCTAAGGAGAAAAGACTGGCCCTTGTTTTCCACCTGTGGGCAGAGGGTCACTTCTGGACAACCTGTTTATTAAGTGTTCATCTTGATATGTTTGCACAAAGTTTGTGGAGAGGTTACATGACGGCCGCTTCCTGACTGTCACTATATTTTGATGGGATTCAGCCACAAAGCAGCAAATTCTGGCACGGCTGGGAAGCCTCTCACAAGCCCACATTCTCCAAAGGTTGAAAAATGCACTGGAACGCAACAGCATCTAATATCCCTACAAACAAACAAACAAACAAACAAGCAAGCATATTAAATAGCCAATGTTGTCTAATCTCCCTGCCAACAAATCAGGATGGATTGCTCAGTAACTAGGTTGTCTGGAAGCTCCTGGTGTTGGCTGTTTATTCAGCTTTCATTCTGATTTGTTTGAGATGGGGGGGGGAGAGATGCAGGTTTAACCCTTTCCCCAGAGGAGCAGTGGGAGGCACCAGTCGGGAGGAGTCCCCAGAGTCAGAGGATTGGTGGTGGGATGACAATGAGTGGTCAGAGCAAAGCTGTAGCCCCGGGTGAAGCCTCCAGAGGGGCACCAATGAGGCTTGCAGCCTGTGTGTGTTTGTGTGCTGGGAATGCCAAACTGGGTTTTTGATCTGGGTGAAATAAAGCCTCATTTCACCCTTGGGTCAGAGGGAGAAGGAGCAGATTGGGAGGCAGTGGCAGTGGAATCTGAATCCCTGGCTTTGGGAAGGTAGTCACACCTAGTCAGAGGGACTCAGGGTTGCTGTGATCTGCTGGCCGGTCTCTTTCATGGCCAGCTGTGGAGGGGATCTGACAACAGACCCTGAGTTGTGGTTCCTGCTGGCTGCCTGGGTCTCTGACATTTTTAATATTTCACAAAGCCCTCCCACCCTGAGTCCAAGGCTAAGCAAAGGAAGAGAGAACGACTGCAGTGCTATCCTGGGGCTCTTTCATCTCACAGGAGTGGGATCCGGGCCTGGGGCGAAGGCCTCCTCCATCGCCACAGGTGTTAACTCTTTGAAATGTCTATAACACAGGTGTACAGCAGTTCAGGACAAATTTTGCTGCGTGACAACAGTGCTTTCGGCATTGTTGTCTGTTTCTTGAGAATACTTGGGATGTCCATGCTTTCCAGCATTTTGCAGTTGAAAATAGTAACACTCTTGAGTGATAAATTCTTATTAGCATGAGAAAGGATCACTGTCTTGACCTCACATTGTTAAAGTCTCTTCCCCGCTTGCTCTATGAAATTAAACTGGCCATCATGGCTGCATGCACACCAGGCATTTAAAGCACATTTCCCCACCCCAAAGAATCCTGGAAGCTGTAATTTGTTAATGGTGCTGTGAATTGTAGCTCGCTGGGGGGTAAACTACAGTTTCCAGAATTCTTTGAAGTGGCGCTCTCAATGTGCTTTAAATGTGTGGTGTGTATATGGCTGATAATATTTACTTGAAACAAAAGAAAATACCGTATTTTTCCTTGTAGAAGACAATGCTTTTTGCTAAAAAGGTTTAGACAAAATTTGGGGGTCGTCTTATACACGGATGGTGAATGCACAGGGGTTAAAAAAACAAAACACTACTTATGGTACCTTCCTGTGGCTGCCATGAAGAAGCTGCCAGAAGCTGCCACTGACCTTCCCAGGTGCTTGGCTTGGCCGATCTCCCCCCAAAAAGCACAACAACTTTGGGCGATCTCAGGTGTTGGGGGGCAGGCTATGCTGCTACCCACGAGCGAGCACCCCCACCACCCCAGGAACCAGCAGGAGTTGTTACACCGGTGCTTTAATAAAATATCAAAGTTGTTCTGCTTGATGTTTAAAATATTGATTTCTTAATTTAGGGTTCAAAAAAATAGGGGGCATCTTATATATGGAAAAATATGGTAATACTTTAGAATGTGTTCACTGAATGTTTGATATCACAGCAGATCAGGTGAGAGATCAGCTGTGAGTTCAAACACATTCAGAGCATTCTGTCCTTTGTGTATAAGAGAGTATAGAGCAAGGGTTGCCACACACTGGCATTTTGTGGCCAATATCAGTGTTCGAAATCAACCAGTAGCCAGGTGCTTTTTTCCACCTGGCTGTCAATCACTTGCAGCCAAGTGAAGATGCCTAGGCAACAGGCTGGCACCTGAGATCTCCACCATCTGGAGCTGCATGTATGGGGACCATTGGATCTTGACTGTTTTCACACACTAACACCACATCCTATAGAATTCTATTAGTTATATTTTATCTACACGATCAGAATGAATTTTAGGAACCAAAAGGCTTTTTCTGTGCAGCCTGAGCAGGAGCAGTCACCATTAAGAAAAAGAAGGAGGAATAGGCCAATATATACAGTATGTGGACTGTCCCTGGATCAAGGGACTTTTCTGTTTTGAGAAGAACTTCTTCTCAAAGTTCTTAGCCTAGCCCAAGGTTGTCATCTCAGCTAGCCAGATGTTTAACTGAGAATCAATCACAGTCAGTCCCTCATTTGGAAAATAAGACTTTAGAGCCGTCTTGCCCCAAAATGGCAACTAGACATCCTGTTTTGGTGACTGCAACCTTTGTTGCATTTAGCGCCTAGTTTCTATACCTAAGTTTCTAACACTGGTTGACATCCACGTTCATCACAGTCCAGATGCATCTGCCCCCACTCAGATGTGTAGCTGATCCTCCTAATATTTCCCCACCAGTGTAAGAAGAGGGAGTACTAAACAGATAAGGTTGGAGAGTATTGGGGGTATTTTTTAATTCTGTATTTATTTATTTAATTTATATTCTGCCCTTCATCTGAGGATCTCAGGGCAGTTTATAATATAAAAGCACAAAAATACACACCACAGTAATAAACAAAAACAATAACATCCCCCCCCCATTGTTTAATTAGCCAAAGGCCTGGGAGAAGAGGAATGTTTGTCCCTGACACCTAAATATATGTAACAAAGACACCAATCAGGCCTCCTTGGGGAGCATGTTCCACAAACAAGGAGCCACTGCAGAAAAGGCCTATTTTTATGTTTCCAGCCTCAAGACCCCTCGTGGAGGAGGCACAGAAGAAGGGCCTCAGATGATGATTACAGGGTTCAGACAGGTTCATCTGAGGAGAGGCAGTCCTTAAGTGTTGCTGTTCTGAGCCATAAGGCTTTATAGGTCAAAACCAGCACATTGAATTGGGCCCGGAAACTATTTGGCAGCCAGTGCAGTCAGACCAGGATCGGTGTTATATGCTCAAACTGTCTTGCCCCGGTGAGCAACCTGGCCGCTGAATTCTACACCATCTGAAGTTTGTGAACGGTCTTCATCGACAGCCCCATGTATTGCAGGGTCAGTTCATATGGGGAGAGGCAGTCCTTGAGCACCTTTAACCAAATGAGCAAATTCCTCTTTGTGGGTCCTCATGTGACCAAGCCCAAGCTGTGGTGAAGCAGGTTCTACAATTCTATGATTCTGGGTGAAATACCCAAATGCCAGTGCACAACTTCCATTCCATCACCCTTTCCTCCCAAAAGAAATACATCCTGTTGTTGTGGAAAGCTAAGGGCAGGATGTGGGGAACCTGTGGCCTTCAAGATATTTGTTGGACTACAATTCCCATCATTCCTGACCATTGCATTTGCTGCCTGAGGCTGATGAGTCTAGCAGCATCTAGAGGGCCAGAGATTCCCCATCCCCGGCTTAGAGGACACACCAGTCAGGAAGCCAGGCAATGACTTTATTGGACCTCTCTTTGGCTGCTTCCAGACAACCTGTTTACAGTGGTACCTCAGGTTAAGAACTTAATTTGTTCTGGAGGTCCATTCTTAACCTGAAACTGTTCATAACCTGAGGTACCACTTTAGCTAATGGGGCCTCCCGCTGCCAATGCACCGCCGCCACGCAATTTCTGTTCTCATCCTGAAGCAAACTTCTTAATCTGAGGTACTATTTCTGGGTTGGCGGAGTCTGTAACCTGAAGCATCTGTAACCTGAAGCATCTGTAACCCGAGGTACCACTGTATTGAGCATTCATCCTGAGTTGTTTCCAGGGAGATTAGAGGAGGTTGAAACTACAAGAAAGAAGATTCCACCTAAACATTAGGAAGAACTTCCTGACAGTAAGAGCTGTTCGACAGTGGAATTTGCTGCCAAGGAGTGTGGTGGAGTCTCCTTCTTTGGAGGTCTTTAAGCAGAGGCTTGACAACCATATGTCAGGAGTGCTCTGATGGTGTTTCCTGCTTGGCAGGGGGTTGGACTTGATGGCCCTTGTGGTCTCTTCCAACTCTATGATTCTATGATTCTATGATATATAATGAGCATTTGTTCTGATTTGCTTGCGAGGTTATGTTGCACCAAAACAAGTGTTCCCCAACCTTTCCACTGCATTTCACTTTCACTTTCCCTCACTTTGGGGGGAAGTGGGTTTATTGCAGAAGACCTCTCAATCAACTATAGCTGTACAGCCTGAATTTGCCAGTACAGTAGTACCTCGGGTTACAAACACTTCAGGTTACAAACACTTCAGTTTACAAACTCCACTAACCCGGAAGTAGTACCTCGGGTTGAGACCTTTGCCCCAAGATGAGAACGGAAATGGTGCGGCGACGGCGCGGCAGGAGCGGGAGGCCCCATTAGCTAAAGTTAAGGTTAAGAATGGTTTTGGGTTAAGAACGGACCTCCAGAACGGATTAAGTTCATAACCCGAGGTACTACTGTATATGATTGAATCCCACTCCAAAATGGCAATAGACTGGAGGTGCTCCCTGTCTCTCTTAAACCAAAACAACAGCAACAGGGAGCTCCTGATTCCATCCATGACATTTCATAGTCTAGGTCATGTGTGGGGAACCTGCTGGACTCAAGTCCCAGTCAGCATGGCTAATGATCAGGAAAGATGGAGTCCAACAACACCTGAGGGCCACAGGTTCCCCATCCCAGGTCTAGGCACCTGTAGTCAGGAATTTCTCACTGGGATAGTTAGCCTGTGTCTGGGCTGTACCATTTCAAAGTACAAGGGGATGGGTTCACATAACTGGATGCTCCTCCACGCTAAAAGAAAATAGCTTGCATATGGAAGAGTAGCGTATCAAGGGCAAGTTTTTAAGCCCACAGGGAGAAAGGATGTTGGGAACTGGAAATTACACAAAGAGACACTAGAGATGGAAGGGACCTTCAAAAGCCATCTACCCAACCCCTCACCAATTCAGGAAATCCACTCTTTGTTTTTTTAATGTATTTTTTCCTATTACATTTGAACTTTACACACCACTTGAAGCATTTGTATGGAAAAGCAGGCAACAGCCCTCCATAAATCACCTAGTTTTGGAATTACAACTTGTACAGCTTGTTGTCATCTGCTCTCTCTTCTTCCCCCCTCCACCCCCGCAGGCCTCTCGGACAACACAGCAGACCTGGAAAAGCGAAGGCAGATCTACGGACAGAACTTCATCCCCCCAAAGAAGCCTAAGACCTTCCTGCAGTTAGTATGGGAGGCGCTCCAAGATGTGACACTGATCATTCTTGAAATTGCTGCCATAATCTCCCTGGGGTTGTCTTTTTATGCTCCACCAGGCGAAGAAAGCGAAGGTGAGATGTGTTCCTTATAGAGTCATTAGATCTGTTGGAGAGCAGAACTCCCTTCTCAAGGAGGCCATGGCCTGCTAGTCTTGGAATTAAAGGAAGAAGGTGGGCTCTGAGCCAACCTATCTAGGATATTGCCTTTCCCATAAGACCCTGCAGCAGGGCTGGCAGCCTGTGGCCCTCCAGAAGATGTTGAGCTGTATCATCCTTCACCATTGGCTGTGAGGGCCTGGGCTGATGGGAGTTGGAAGTCCAACAACACCTGAAGAGCCATAGGTTCCCCCATTAGCTAGCTAGCTGGTCACCTTATGTCCCACCTGAAGATAAGAGCCCAGGACAGCTAGCATTCATTAAACAACAATATAAGGTCTTAAGCAGGCATTTGAAGGAAAGTGCTGAAGTGCTTGCTTAATATTACAAGGCAAGGTGTCCCACAGCCTAGGTGCTAACAGACTTGAATGCCCTTCTATCTTGTAGAAGCAAGGTGAGCTTCACATGTTGGGGATCCCAGGCCTGATCCCAGGCCCACACAGACTGCCTTTGGCTTCACGATGCTGAGGTCAAAACTAAGATCTGTTTTTCAACAGAAGATCAATGTGCCTTCTTGAAACATCCATCGAATCAACAACTATTTCTGCTTTCCAGTCTTCTGAAATTTATCGAGTTCTCCATCACTTTCCACTAACTGCTCCATTTATCTACTCTGCTGACTCATTCGTTTTCCTGTTTCTATGAAGTACTTTTAATGTACAAAGAGTATTATGTGATTCTCTACTTCTTTCAGCTGCATAACAACCCTCTGAGGTAGAGGACTGCTATTCTCATAGTCCTCCTGCACAAGTCCATGTCTGAACTGGGCTTTACACTCCAAGCGTACCCATGCAATGACCCATTTAGGGTAGCCTTTGGCAATCATCCAGATCCATGTAGTTGTGGTTGGTAGTTAACAACAAGCAAATTCACCAAGATAAATTTATATTTATGGAACATACTTGAAGGTTGTGAGATGTTCAGGACATATGTACACCAGAAAATTAACTTGCCTCATTCACAGAATGGGAACTGACAATCTGGAAGAAGGACTAGGGATAGGTGATTTAGGTAATTTCAGACTCTGGACTTCATGATCTTACTGTCTACCCCCCACCCCTGCTGTAGATGGCAAAGTGATCTGCTGAGCAGGGCCCCAGACCTCTGCCTTTAATAAAAATTCTGTACCACTTGATTGTAAGAAAAGACCTCAAAGACTTAAGGCAGGTATGGGGAAATGGTGGCCTTCTAGAGGCTGTTGTACCCCAACTCCCACCATCCCCACTCAGTAGCTAAGAATGATGGGAGTTGTCATCCAGTGTCTTCTGAAGGTACCTTGGTTCCTCATCCCTGACTGAAGGATGACGTGGTCATAATGATAGTAGTCTCCTCCCTCTCCAACACCTTCTTTTTCTCCATTTTCCTAGTCTGTGGGAACGTGGCAGCCAGCGCAGAGGATGAGGGTGAGTCAGAAGCTGGTTGGATTGAGGGTGCTGCCATCCTGCTCTCGGTGATCTGTGTAGTGTTGGTCACAGCCTTCAATGACTGGAGTAAGGAGAAGCAGTTCCGAGGTCTGCAGAGCCGCATAGAGCAGGAGCAGAAGTTTGCCGTCATCCGCAATGGGCAACAGGTCCAGATCCCTGTGGCTGAACTGGTTGCCGGGGACATTGCTCAAATCAAATATGGTAAGGGACGAGGAAGGGTCTGGGCGGGCTGGGCTGGATTCATTACTGGGGGCCTGCTGAAGGCGTGGCTGTTACAGGGAGAGCCTGGGTGATGATATCAAGATAAACTTTTGGGATTTGATCTGTGACAGTCCTGAGATCTAACATCTGCTGAGGAATCCTTGAGATCCTTGCTGCATGAAGGGTGCCTGTGGCATCAGATGGGGCTGGTTCACAGCTGTGGAGCAGTTACCAAGAGCCTACCTCTATGTGAGGTTCCCTTGCAGATGTGATGCATGGGTGCACTGTCAAGAGATTTGCAGTGGCGCATGGGGGAGAAGGCATCCTCATAATTCCAGTTTCAGAAAGCTCTGCAGTGGTAGAACAAACATTGAGAGCATCCTTCTAGCAGACCACATTTTCCAAACATAGTATATGGACTGGGTAATTAAATGGGCACCCCTGCTAGCGCTAAGAAACTGAGATGGGATAGAGGACAGAAGGTGGTATTTGGAGACGAACAGCACTATCCTGTGCATGTCTCCTGAGATGCACTGAGTCCTGTGGGAATTACTCCTCTTAGGTAAGTGTTTATAGGATTGCAGCCTAAGCAGAGTTGCTCTTTGAGACCATGGCTCTGACCTGCTTCTTTCTCCAGGTGACTTGCTTCCTGCAGATGGGGTGCTTATCCAGGGGAACGATCTCAAGATTGATGAGAGCTCCTTGACGGGGGAGTCGGATCACGTGCGCAAATCAGTGGAAAAGGATCCCATGCTGCTGTCAGGTGAGCGAACAAGAAAGAAAGGGATGCAGTTCAGGAAAGCCAGAAGGATCATGTGCTGATTTGGTTGCTGTGCACTGACAGTAGCCAGAGGCGGAACTAGCTGCCCCTGTGCACCCAGTGTCCCATGGGGTGGGGCCAGTGTCCCGGGGGCGAGACGCCCATGGGGCAGAGTGAGCCACCCATGGCAGGCTGTTTCCTGGGCGGGGCGGGGGGGAGCCACGCTGCTTTGCCAGTAGCCTTCCTCCCTTCCCCATTCCTTTTGACAGCTCAGGGGAGGCTTCCCTCCCCCAGGAAGCAGCCCGGGAGTGGGGGGCAATGGCATGCCACCCACCCATGACTCCCAAGCCTCCCCCAAGCTGTCAAAATGAAGGAGGAAGGGGGAAAGGCCGCTGGCAAGGTGGCACAGCTCCACCCCTTCCCCCGACAGCTCAGGGTAGGCTTGGGAGTCATAGGCCGAATGTCACCCCCCTCAGTGATGACACCTGGGCGCACCGCCCCCACCACACACCCCTTCCTCCGCCCCTGACAGTAGCCTCCAAATTCTCTGGTTTCAGGAAACCCTTTCCACTGTGGTGCATCTGCAAGGAACGAGTGTGGCTGCCATAGGGCCCCCTTTGTTTTAAGGAGCTGGGGGCATACTTGCCTCACACAAACTGAGTCTTAAAGCACCACCCACCACTTCACCTGTAGCTGCTGTCACCACTGCTGATCTTCTCCTTGCAAAGCCCCGGATAAACTTTCCTCGGAGCTCCCTGGATCACAACTTGAAAACCTCTCCTGTAGGAGAGCTTGTGAATGCTGCTATGGCACCCATGGTGACTTTGGCATATGCCGAAGGATGTCGGAATGGGTGTCAGGAGCAGACGTGTGCCCCCGTTGCCTCGTCGACTGGGCCAGTTCTCCTTTTGCCTGCCATCAGTTCCAGCTCCTGTTGCAAAACCATACTCTGTTCACAATAAGTATGACAGTCACCCTTGCAACAATATTTTAAAACAAAGTGCAACTGCAAAATGCAACTTATTATTATTATCTATTAGATTTATTGCTCAGCCTTCACCATAAGGGTGTGTTACAACAATTGAAAAACACAATATTAAAATAAGTTAAAACAATTTATAACTGAAATAATAGGGTGCGGTCTTCAGCATAGGGCAAAAGCTATACAATGAAGGGGCCAGATGGACCTCTGTGAGAAGGGATGTTTTCTTATGCTGTTATATTTGTTGGAAGCCACCCAGAGTAGTTGGAGCAACCCAGTCAGATGGCAGGGTACCAATAAAAAAATTATTATTGTTGCTATTCAGTAGCTTAGAAGGCTCTCTCTGCTGATCTTAACACCAATTAGCTTGCAGTAGCACATCTGAAGCACGTTGGGAGCTGTTGCAGGAGCTACTACAGGAGCCTGGAGGGTTTGGAGGAGATTCTGAAGAGGCTGGGAGAGAACTAGAGAAGATTCTAAGGAGAGTTGAAATTTGGAGAGAGAGCAGGGAGACTAAAGCCTAGCACAGTGAAAGGGAGGGAGAAGGACACATCCGGAGACGGCCATGGAGGAGAAAAAAGCCACTGCCATCCCCACCCCGAAGTCCCCAAAGCACAGAGCTTTGGGAAGGAGGAAGGAGGGCTCCAGCATCCTGTCACAGGCCTGGCGCCCCCTTCCCAAAGCCCGGGAAGCTTCTGCCCAGCTTAGGGAGGGAGGCGCAATGCTCCGACAAGGTCCAAGAGCCCTCCCACCATCTTCCCAAAGCCCACCCATCTCTGGCTCCTCCCAACATCTTGACGTCACATGTGCAACACTGGGACATCACAACATCACACACATGACATAGGGGCCCCCAATCACCCTTGAGAGCTGGCGCCTTGCAAGCACCAAGCTAGCACCAAGGCCCATTATTTTTACTATTCTACTAAATTGCATTTTTGCCACCTCCTTTCAGGAAATATGGGGCTGGAGGCACCTCACACTGCTTGAGGACCCTGACAATCTTCCTCCTCATCCATCTACTACAGTTGGCACCCAGGTCCCATAATTCCTGTACAACAAGGGGCTGAAGCTGGGAGAAGTGGGGCTACCCAAGTGATCATTTACTCAACTGTGGGGTGGTATTCAACTAAGTTTTACTCAGAACAGACCCACTGAAATGAATGACTCTTGCTAAGTTAGGTTTGTTCATTTCAATTGGTCTACTCTGAGCAACACTTAGTAGGCTACCATCGCATGGTTTTCAAACTTTCTACCTTCAGGAAACCTTCTGCACCTCATTTTGTCTGTCAAAACACTCATGAACATTTACAAAAGATCTTGGAGGGTGGTCTAGGGGGCATATGCAGAGTGTTGGCCAGAACTTTCAGGCTCACCAATGTCCCACATAAACATCATGTACCTAAAAATCACCCAGTACTTTCCTGTGGCTGCAGATCATGAAGGAAAATTGTTAGTGGCTGGCAAATTACCTTTCAGGGGAGTTGTTTGCCTTTATTGGTCTTCTCATCAAGAAATTCCTGTTAAGCTTCCATGGAACCCCAGTGTTCCCCACTGGCCTATGGGATCTTGTAGTGACTCCACGGGATCTGAGCCTTCTGCTCCTGGCTTGGTTTCCAACTTTCTTCTGATACCCTACTGACTCTCCCTTTGTTTTCCCAGGCACCCACGTCATGGAAGGCTCTGGGCGAATGGTTGTTACAGCCGTTGGGGTCAACTCACAGACTGGGATTATCTTCACTTTGCTGGGTGCTGGTGGAGAAGAAGAGGAAAAGAAAGACAAAAAAGGTAAGGTATTCCCTCCGGCCTAGGTAAGCCATTCCCCAGTGCATATCTGTAGCCTTTGTGACACATTCCAAGTCTTCATGTTCAGGTCAGCCATTTGTTTACCAATGCAGGAGTGACATGATCAGTCTCTCTCGGGTCTGTCTTTCAACAATGTTTTCAAAATTGGCCAGCTTTTGTCCACAATGTCTCTCATCTGTGTAGTATTAAGTCAGTGCACACAATCATGGTTACAACATAATAGGACCTCACTACTTAGATATTGCCTTCAAGGTCATCAAATTCATTCAAGTGCCCTCAAGTTTAGCATCATCCTGCTGTCCTTGGTTATACAAGCAGTGCTGTGCCTTCAGGCATTCCTTCCCTAAAGAATTCTGGGCACTGTCGTTTACCTTTCACAAACAATTTCCAGCCCTTAACAAACTACAATGCCCAGAATTATTTGAGGGAAATAATGTGATTCTAAAGTGCTGCAAAAGTAGAATGTGGACAGAGTCAGTATCTCACACAGTACTGCCCAGATCTTTCCCTGAATCGGCTGTTTAACTATTAAACATGTTTGCCACATAGTATAACTCAGCTCATTTGTATGGGCTCTGTAGCACTGGATACCAAATAAGGATTTGGTGGGCTGTAGATGTTGGCCTGTTGTTCCTGGATAGCAGTTTAGGGGGTTTCTTACAGTGGTGGAGAGCAGACTCAAACTTGAGGGCTGAGACAGAGCTGCACCTCTGTTGGGCTCATTAAATCTCCTGGGCCCACCAGCTTTTCTGGCTCTGTCCCTCACTTTACCACCTTCCCTATCTGGATTGGATCGTGCCTCTTTCAGTCCCTACTACCTTTTCCTGTGACTTCTCCATCTGTGAAACCAGATACAGCTGTTACAGACCTTGCTCATCATTCCTTCTTTTGTCTAACATTCTTCACTTCTTGGCAGTCTGAGCCTCTCTTCAGCTTACCCAGTTCCCACATATTAGGCAAAATGGCATACAAAAATGTGTATATTTGAAGAAATCCACACTAAAATACTGATGAACTTTCACAAGAACTTGTGTGTTTTCAAAAAAAGAAAATCAAAAATTGAAACAGAAATGCTTGACCAGCCAGCTCTACTGCCAGCCCTCCTCTCAATTTCCCCATCATCCCTTTGCCCTATTGATCCAGATCCAGGTGCAGGTGCAGGTGCAGGTCACCTCTTTTCCCTGCCGTAAAACAGTCCCATCCAGCTGTCCTTTGGCACAAGTGTCCTTTCAATGTTCTTGTAGTGACATAGGAGCTGCTTATTCATAGGCAGCTGCTCATGCAACTGGGAGCATTTAAATAGCCCAGTCACATGCACAGAGGTAAACCACGAGGGTCCTTCGCACTGAAAAGGTGCTGCTCCTGGAGCAGGGAGAGGGTTTGCTGATTCCATGGGAAAGGCCCGTGTGATTGGGCCATTTAAATGTTCTCTCAGTTGCACATGGATAAGTGACTCCCACACAGCCAGGAGAACATCTAAAGGGCATCACAGTGTAATTGCATTTGACTCGGCACTCTTGCTCAACATTGTTGACTCATCTGCCGAATTATGGCTCATCATTTTTGGAGTCTGATTCAGAAAAGAGACTGGTCATGACTCAAAGCCTTCGGCGTTTGTCTCTTTATTGTTGGGCCTTCAGTACAAGAAGGGTTCAACTCATTAACTACCTCAGACCCACATAAGGTGTAGAAACACTGAAGTAACTCCACTCAATCACTCCCAGCACAACAAGGTTCCAGTTTTCAAGGAAAATAGCTCTATAGGACGAAATCTTTTTCACTCCTCCCAGTCTTCTCCTTCTGTTGTTTCCAACAGGCAGCCTAATTCTATAAACATATCTTAATCCAGGAATGTCCAACCAGTCGATCACGGGCCATTCCTTGTCGATCCTTGTTGCCCCCCCCCCCCAAAAAAAGCTCAACAACTCTGCTGGTCTATCGTTCCCAAAAACCGTGGAAGGGTTGGGAGCTGGGGACACTGCTATGCAGTGGTTCTGCTCCTTCTTCCTGGGCCATGTCCAGAAAGTGGTGTTGGGGTGAGTGTTTGGACCCCTGGGTGCTTACTTGTGGGGTGACTCAGGACTCCGTCCACTCTGCTGTGCTTTTTGTATAAAGCAACTGGGAGAGATCAAGAGGCGGTTGAGTGTTCACCAATATGTGGATGATACCCAGCTCTACCTCTTGTTTAAATTGGAACCAGTGAAGGCAGTGAATGTCCTGTGTGCCTGTCTGGAGGCAGTTGGAAGATGGATGGCAGTCAATGTATTGAGGTTGAATCCCGACAAGTACTATTTATGGGGGACAGGGGGTGAGTAGGTGTGGGGGACTCCCTGGTCCTAAATGAGGTAACTGTGTCCCTAAAGAACCAGGTGTACTGCCTGGGAGTCATTCTGGACTCACAGCTGTCCATGGAGGCCAGATTAATTCTGCATTCAGGACAGCTGTTTACCAGCTCCTTTTAATATGCCTGCTGAGACTCTACTTGCCTGTGGACTGTCTCACCAGAGTGGTTCATGTTCTGGTTATCTCCCACTTGGATTGCAATGCGTTCTACGTGGGACTGCCTTTGAAGATGACTCAGAAACTACAATTAATCCAGAATGTGGATGCTAGACTGGTGACTGGGAGTGGCCGATGGGAACATACAACACTGGTCCAAAGACCTACATTGGCTTCCAGTATGTTTAAGAGTGCTTGTGCTAACCTCTAAAGCCCTAAATGGCCTCAACCCTGTATACCTGAAGAAGCATCTCCACCCCCATCATTCAGCCCAAATGCTGAGATCCAGCACCAAGGGTCTTCTGATGGTTCCCTCACTGTGAGAACTTAAGCTACAGGGAACCAGGCAGAAGGCCTTATCAGTAGTGGCACCCAACCGTGTGGAACACCCTCCCATCAGATGTCAAGGAAGTAAACAACTATCTGACTTTTAAAAGACATCTGGAAGCAGCCCTGTAGACGGACGTTTTTAATGTTTGATATTTTACTGTGTTTTTGTATTTTATTCGAAGCTGCCCAGAGTGGCTGGGGCAATCCAGTCAGATGGGTGAGGTACACATAATAAAATCATCATTGTTATTGTTAGTACAGTGGAACCTTGGTTCCCGAATGACTTAGTGGCCGAACAAATCGGCTCCCAAATGCCGCAAACCCACACATAAGTGTTCCGGTTTGCAAACGTTTTTTGGAAGCCAAACACCTGATGCTGCTTCTGCATGAGTGCAGGAAGCTCCTCCAGCCAATTGGAAGCCACGCCTTGGTTTTCAAATGGTTTCAGGAGTTGAACAGACTCCCAGAATGGATTAAGTTTGAGAACCAAGGTATCACTGTGGTAGTATATAGATCCGTTCCAATCTGGGTTCAGGCCTGCTCATGGAACTGAGTTGGCCTTTGTCAGATGGATAACCTCTGCAGAGAGCAGGACAGCTGGAGTGTGTCCTTGCTCCTGCTTCCTGATCTCTTGTTGGCATTTGATACCATCGACAAGGGCTGGGCAATATCTGGTTTTCAGCATTGTGAACGAGCTAACCATTGCAATATAGTGAAATATCACAGTGTCTGAAATAACACAGGAAAAGGCTGAAAAAGCAGCTGGGCTGTGGAGGGAGAGAGGAGCAACCAGGAGGAAGGGAAGTAGGCTGCCCGCTTGCTTGGGCAAAGGAGCTCCTGCCCCTGCCCTCCCTCCCTCCCTCCCTCTGCAACCCAGCCTCAGCAGAGAGAGCCTGAGAAGGTCTCCATCTGCCTGCCTGCCTGTGTGCTGGCCTTTGCCAAGCGGAGCAGACTGCCTCTTTCCTCCTGACCAACCCAGCTTGCTCGGGCGAAGGCAAACATACAGGGAGTAAAATGCCCTGTGCTGGTGGCAGCCAGGGAGCCACAATGTATTGCCAGCTCAAAAATTCTGAAGGCAGTATCAGGATTTGAACTTCATACCAGTTTCAGACTGTTATTGAACTGAAATATCACCCAGGTCTACCATCAGCCTTCATATCCTCCTGGATCAGCTCTGGGGAGTAGGAATTTGGAGCACTGTGTTACGTTGGTTCTGAACCTGCCTTCAGGAACCAAGCCCAGAAAGGAGCATTGGGAGAGGGCCTTTTGGCCCCCTGGCGGCTGCGTTCTGTCAGTTCACCCTGAAAAAATATTTATTAATGTTTTGTTTTTCTTTTCCCTGATCCCCACCACGTCTGACCCCTGTTGCACTTCCCCTCCTCTTGCACTCCAACCTCCTCTTTCCCATGGTCCCTTCTTTCATCCATTTCCCCTAGACGCTAATGCAGAGACTTCCGAAACTGAGAACAAGGGGGGTATGTGCAGAAGGGCATATATCTGCGTCTCTAGAGTACATGCATACGCTCCCAGACAGGCCAACCATGCATGCTAGACATGCATCCATGACATGTATGTCCCCACCAGTGAGAACATTAGAACAGCCTGGCTGGTTCCGGCCCAGAGGTCCACCTAGGTCATCAACCTTGTTCCTCTCAGTGTCCAGCCAGATGCCCCTCAGAAGCTCACAAGCAGGGCATGAGGACAGCATCCCTAACACCACCGTCCTCTTTGCCCTCCTAGCAGCTGTCAATCAGAGGCATGCTGCTGCCACCTCACTATGTGACACTGACAACGTGCATTTCTAAGCATTCCCCTTCATCCTGGCATATTCTTAGAAGGCAGCAATTCCTCCACACACATAGCGATGCACACACTAGGCCACAGCTCCCTTGAAGGGGCACTCCTGTCAGCTGTGATTGCAACACAGACAACCCACACTGCTGCCATTTAGGTTATTTGCTTGCTTGCTTGTTCATTACCTGCCATCCAACTTGCCGGAGGCACACCAGGGTGGTTTGTTGCAACATTGCAACAGCAGCACAATCAATCCTTTTTAAAGCAGCACCATTAAAACCAAAAAGGAAAGCCTGGCAGGAGAGCCCAGGGAATGTAGTTGATGCTGTCAAAGCCACAGCAGTTTATTATATATATATGGGTAGGAATGGAGGAGGAAGCAGCAGTGCTTGGATCTCACCTGATGTGAGCCATCATCATGGATCATCAAGGATCATCATGACCAGATCACGGAGCCCACTTTAGAACTCACAATCCTACCAATTTGAGGGCCCAGCAATGCCTGCCTTGGTCCTCTGCCAAAAGCCCCTCCCGTCTTTATAAAGCTGCGAAGAATTCTGGAGCAGCTGATGTGACAGATCTTCTTGCTGCTGCTGCTGCTGCTGCTGCTTTCAGTGGAACAAAGCAAGTCCCCCTAGAAATAGCAGTATCTGGTGACCTTCTGTCACTCTCTGAGGGAATTGTATTGGGGGGGGGGACCGTGGCTGCCTCCATGGAAACACTGGGTTTACACAAAAACAGCACCAACTCCAACAGCCAAACCACAGAATCAGTAGCAAAAGGTCACATATGCACATTCCCATTCTCTCGCAAAATAAGTAACATTTTACCAGCTTTCTAAAGGTCCTCATAGGGCAATATTAATGGGCTTCCCTAAGAAACATCCTCTATAGTAGGAAACATGCAGTTTTTCAGTGCATTTCACTTTAAATAACCAATAAACATATGCATATCTGTTGCTGTATTAGTGCACACTTCATTACATCCATGTATTCTGCATGTACATCCAGGGCTTGCTATGGATTGAGACAGAGTCAGTTGCTACCCCCTCTATTTCAGAGGGATCGGAAGCTATCCCATTTCTTTTCAATGGATGCAGTTCAAGTCCAGCCTAACCGGACTCTAAACTGTCCCACTTCCTTTTCTCTCTCACCTTGAGCACTGTGCACTAACAGTAACCTGCCTTAACCAGCTCCCACCCTCTGCACTTCTACAACCAATGAGATATCCTTCTTTATCACACCCAGCCTGGGCTATGTGCGTGGTTTTGTAGTGGGTGGAGCAGGAAATCTGCTAACTGACTCAGAAATGGAGCCCACCAGATTAAGTCCCTTTTCTTTCTCAATAGATGCTCTGCCTGCCCATATGTCCTTGTAAAGTCACCTAGCCAGCTTCTTCCATGGGGCGAAGTGGGATGGGGTGGAATGTCTTGTTTGTCAATGCCCATGCTGTCTCCATACTGTGTGTTCTGTGCTGGTGCCGTGTTGTCTGTTCTCAAGCGTCCTGTGTTTGCGTTCCCTTCTTCTGTTGTAGGAAAGCAGCAGGATGGGGCAGTGGAGAATAATCAGAACAAAGGTAAAAATCCCGGGACACTCCCCCAACACATTTTGAATGCCTCCCCTGTAGTTCTACATTTAGCTAGAGTAGTATCCATAGTGGAAACAGTTAGTCATCACTAGGCTTTAACAGAGTGATTCTAGATTTCCTAGCAGTATATGTAATTTGCATTCAGAAAACTGACATGTTTAAACAAAGCAAAGCAAGACCTTGTGTGACCAGAGGCAAAAGCATGCAGGGCTCCTGTTAGGGCTGTTATCTCTGGGGTGGAGAGGTGGAGCTGGGTACTAAGCTTGCTAACTTGGGGAGCAAAGCCCAGAGCCAGCCTGCAATGGAGGCAGGGGCAGAGCCCAGTGAGGTTTGGGTGAGTTGCGGGCAGAGCCCATACATTCTGAACAAGTCTAGCGGTTGAGACTTTCTCATTTCAAGGCAAACGAGAAACCTCATTGATTTGTGACATGCACCATAACTGCACAAAACAACTTCGATTTAGTACATTACAAGGATGGTATATTCAAATGAAGTACTGTTAAAATGTTCTGACACATGTAATACATTATTTTCTTTCAGTGGGTTCCTTATTTTGGAGGTCTTCAGATGGTGACCCTTGGTAGCACTCACCACAAAATCTTTGTATTCATCCAAGCTGTGCAGCTTAAAACACACACATGTGAATGTTGATTGAGTGGTAGAGTGATTTTGCCCCTTGTTTTTCTGGCAACTGGCCTATAAATCATAAAAGGTAGCCAAGCTGTATTTATCCTGGTCAGTTGGCAAGCGGCTACAATTTTTCCAACTTTTCCATGCCAAGCTGCACCTCTCCACATTCTTCCTTCTGCGCAATTATGAAAGCAAGAGGGTTTCTGCCTCTGGTCACACTAAGAGAGTCCTTGGCCTGCCATGTGCTGCTCAGAATAAGCAGAGCCAACACAACCAGAAAAGTTCCTGTAGTTGTTGCAAAAGAATAAAAATATTCCCTGTTTACAGACAGGGGTGTACCAAAGTGCAGAGATTGCATATATTTGTCAGTTACTGAGCTGGTATATAAACTCAGAGATTTTGGAACTCCAGTATTGGACCTGACATTCCTATGGTTCATAGGAAATAAGCATCTTGTACAAAGGCTAGTGGGAGAGTGTTATCAAAATACATGTTGGCATGTCAGACAGTGTTGGGTATTTAGAATCACGAGGGATAGGAGTGGTGTGCATGTGTGTGCACACATGCACGCCGGTGTTTCTCTTGTTTCAGTAGCCATGTATGTAAGTATTAGAAAATGCTGTCCAACTGAGCACAAGCTTTTTTGAGCCTACCATGTAAAGAATTGTTCACCTGAATTGCGCACTAGAAGGACTTTCCTATAAAGGACTCTAGAAATTGTAGTTTTGTGTGAAGGTGCTGAGATTTTTGTCAGAAAGATCTCATTCAGGGAACCACAATTCGCAGAGTTCACTGGGAGAAACTATGACAATTAAACCACATTTAGTTCCACTTTCTCTACATGGGAGATATTCCTGTGATAAGACTGCACTAGAGTGGCTGTATATATTTTTGCACAGCTGGGGTGTATTGTGGGTTGAGAGAAAATGTGAAAGAGGCAACAAGAGACAGCGTGGATGCCTGTGTGTGCTGCCTTCTGCGGACAGATCTGAAACTGGTCCTCGACTTTACCCTAGGAGGAGGCAAATTCCTATTTCCCCCAAGGAAGCATCTGGAACAGGGGAATGGAACATCAGGCCAGGGGCCAAATCTAGCTTTCCACTCCTCTCTGTCTGGCCCTCAGCAGGACTCTCCCTAGGCCAGGCCACACTCCTCGCTACTGCACCCCCTCCTCAAGTGCATTGGCTGCTTGAATGTGTCCATGAACTCTTGCTTGCCTCTTGCTTGCTTGGGGGGGGGGGGTATGGGAGAGAGGCAGGGACTCCTTGGTGGTTGTTGCTGTTCTTTTTTGCATGGCTGGAAAGTGGCATATTGTACAAAGTCACACCTATTGCCCCATGGGCTTTTTCCTTTGGCCCCGATCATCACCAGGATGCAGCCCCCAGAAGGGGAAGGCTTCCCCATCCCTGATGGCACCAGATGTGCTGCAGGGAATGGAGCCCCACTAGAGCCGTCAGGGGATGGGGCTGCCACTTTTTCTGTGACCCAGACCTTTGTTGACATCAGCATGTGACACAGAAATTCAGCTGGTGGGTTTTTTTGGGGGGGGGATATATGTGGAAAACCTCATCTGCCATAGAATTTAGAGTTGGAAAGGGCCTTGGAAGTCATTAGAGGACCCTAAGGGAAGGGCTGTAGCTCAGTGATAGAGCATGCAAGAAGGTCCCAGGTTCAGTCCCCACTGGCATCTCCAGGCAGGGCTGAGAGAGACTCCTGCCTGAAATCCTGGAGAGCTGCTGCCAGCCAGTGTAGACAATATTGAGCTAGATGGACCAAGGGTAGAAGGCAGCTTCCTGTATCATCTTATCCAACCCTCTTGCAATGGCAGCGCCCCTGACAGATGGCTGCCCAGCTCCTGCTTCAGGACCTTATTTCTAGCGCCTCAGGACGCTGTTTAACAGCACAAGAGCAGGGTGGCTTTTCTGTTTGTTTGTTTTTGTTTTGTTTTGTGTCAATCTTAGCTGTAGGGTTAATATGAAATTAGGGTGGGACAGATATTCTTCCCTTATGGGTGAACCAGTGTTTTGCTCCCCCTCTCTCTCTGCAGCCAAAAAGCAGGATGGGGCAGTTGCCATGGAGATGCAACCCCTGAAAAGTGCAGAGGGTGGTGAGATGGAAGAGCGAGAGAAGAAGAAAGCCAGTGTGCCCAAAAAAGAGAAATCTGTCCTGCAAGGGAAGCTCACCAAACTGGCTGTGCAGATTGGGAAAGCAGGTATGTTGGGATGCCGTCTCACAGGACCAAGCAGAGCGACCCATGTTGAGAAATAGCAGGAGGGTGGCCTCCTTTCTTAGAGGATGAGAAACAAGATGTAGATAGAACTTTGTGCTTCGTGACAAAAAGAAATGAATTCCTCTTTTCCTTCCCGCCCCCCAAAAAAGAAGAAGAAAAGCAAGTTCTGCATGAATTTATTTCCTTTTATTTTGAACGATTTATTTCTCTCTTTTTACACTTTTGATCATTCAGGTTTTATCAATGTTTAGGGGGGACAATTAAATGAAATGTCTTGGTTATTGGAGCCCCAACCAGAAGCAATGAAAACCATATTCAGTCTCCCCTCCGTCTTCTGAGGTTTCATCAGGCATTGACCACTTTGAGGCATATCCTCATAACCATAACAAGGACTAGAAACAGAGATTCTCAGGAAGCTGAATTTAACACGCAGCCTTTTCCCATAGGGACTGGAGGTGGTGATGCCCAATGCATCATTGACCTGCCCCATTTTGGAGAACTCTTTCAATTAGTAATGTTGTGTGACCCAGTCCCCACTCTGCTCTGCGGAGAAATGGGTCTCTCCTTAAGCCTTGCATGGTCTGGTCCAGTGGTGGACCTACATTTTGGGGGCCCTGAAGCTTGAACTATTGGGGGGGCCTTCACAACCAGCAACAAGGTAACCACTGCTATCTTCTTCAATGGGGTTGTTCCATGGCAGATCTCCACAAATCTTCTGTGAGTGTGATTTTTGGTATCTGCTTAAGTACTTTCATGAACTCATTGTTATTCATCTCAGCGGTCTTGACCTGTGCTAAAAAGGGGAAAGAATTACATTAACCACAGCAGACCAGCCAACTTAACACAATCCTCCACCTTTGCAACATCCGTGCTATAGACTCAAACTTTGGGATTTTTGAAATATATACAACAAAAAATTAATTTGAGTTGTACTAGACCCATTTTTTTAAAAGCAATCTGGACTAAAGTCGCTTCTGGGGCCCCTCAGAGATTAGGGACCCTGGAGCTTAAGCTTCATTAGTTTCATAGTAGATCTGCCTGGTCTGGTCATTGAGAGGAGGCAATGGGCGCTTGGCTGCCTCAATTATCTAGAATGGAAATCACACCTAACTCGCTAAGGTGAAGGTGGGAAATCAGTTTTTTCTGATCTGAGGAAGGTCAAAAGAACTTTGTGAACAAAGAGAACTGAATAGTGTTTAGTTTGAATTTGGGTAGCAAAAAAGTGGTTAAAAACTCAGTTGTTGCAGCGAGGCAGCACTGGTCACCTGTTTGCTTCCTCTGGCACCTCCATAAATCGATTTGCATATTTGTAAATAACAAGTCTCCAGTGCTCAGTTCTCCAAAAATATCTGTAAACTGTGAAGGCTGCCCCCAATTTCTCACTGCTCAACTTAGAAATGAAACAATATAAAAGAGGTTACCCATTGATCCTCTTTCTCTTCCACCCCATCACCTTGCAAGTTTCTGAACATTTTAATTCCTTTGCCTTTCTAGATAGCCTGCTCCTATCAACCCTTGTCTTAGCATAAAATACCTGACGTGGCTTTGGGGACTGAATGAGTAATGTGCAAAGGGGCCTTGCAAAGGAGACTTAGGATGTGGACACACTTCCTATCTGTAGTGCAAAAATGTAGTTTTTTTGAATATGGAATCATTCATGCTAATCCTCAACATAAATTCTAGAATGATCCTGCTGCCCACAAGGGTAGGTGGGATTCCTTGATAATGTGCTTGAAATCCCTCAGTTAGGTTATCCACACCTTTTCCTTCCTGCACATGCCCCAGGTGAATGAAGAATTGGTAACTGTGACCTTGTTAGGCCCACAACATTGTTAGGCAGGTGTGGATACACCCTCATTACTGGGACTGACTCCGTCCATTTTCAAATGGACATGGGAGGGGCGAGGTGTATTGCAAAATCAATTTTCATTGAGCCTTTATTTTTGGAATTGTGAAAAGCTATTTTCAGGGGCATAAAATGTGCAATATGTCCTGAATGTGTATAGACTAGATAGAAAAAAACAAGATCTCAGTGAGCATTGAATATAATGTTGTGTGTACGCAGCCTTAGTTTCAATTCCTCATGTTCTGGCTTTAGAGCCAGAATATTCTTAAAGTGTGGAACTTGGGGTAGGTGGGTGATCACAGGTACTCAGGCTTAGGTCTAATTGTCATACCTGATTGTCCGTTTCTCTTTCTTTCTCTTATTCCTGCCAGGGCTGGTGATGTCAGCCATCACTGTCATCATCCTGGTTCTGTATTTTGTTATTGAGACATTTGTAATCGATGGGAAGGCATGGTTGGCTGAGTGCACCCCTGTCTATGTGCAATACTTTGTCAAGTTCTTCATTATTGGTGTCACTGTCCTGGTCGTGGCCGTCCCAGAAGGCCTCCCATTGGCCGTCACTATCTCCTTAGCCTATTCTGTGAAGGTAAGAATCAAATTTTCAGTGTCTGGCATACATCACAGGGTTGGTATCCTTCTCGTGTGAGAGACTGTCTCTGAAATACCAGGTTGGCAAAAGTAGTGCCCTCTGATAGTCGTCTCTTACAAATTAAGGTATAGCATTGATTTGATAGACTTCAATGGGAGTTAGATGCATGGTGTTTTAGATCCTTCTATGTTTTGTTTCTGCTCTGCCCTCAGTACAATGTCTGTTAGATTCAGTCAAGAAGAGTGCCAGGTCTGGGGCCTAGCTTACAGCAAGTCCTAAAGAATCCGGGCCTGACCTTGATAAGGCCATAGACATGCTAGACAGGAGGCATAGTCACGAACAGGCTACAGGTCAGGAAAATAGGAGTGTCCATTTCCCCAGGTCAGGAAGGCTGCAGCTTAGATGGGTCTTGTTGCTTCAGCAATGCAGCAGCTCAAACTGGAAGCTTGTATAGGAGCTGGAGGCTGACCAGGCCCTGGTCCAAGCAGTTGTCTCCTTGCACTTCCCCTTCCCCTAGATAGCCTCATGTGCAAGCATTTCAGCAGCATCTCTGAAGTTCCTGCCCAGCTCTCTGTCTCCATTGCTCCTTGACCCTAGGGTGAGAAATAAGGGGCAGAATGGCAACTGGTGTAAGGTATCTCTAGTCCTGGGACAAATATGTTGGTTTGTCGGGGTCATTGGTAGTATGAGGATCGTTGGAGGGACCCTTGGTCCTCATCAGGTTCAAGGTCTGTGTCGGCTGAACCATGACACAGAAGCAGAAGAGGCTGGAGATCAAATACTGCATTAAATATACAGTGGTACCTCAGGTTAAGTACTTAATTCATTCCGGAGGTCCGTACTTAACCTGAAACTGTTCTTAACCTGAAGCACCACTTTATCTAATGGGGTCTCCTGCTGCCGCCGCGCCGCTGGAGCCCGATTTCTGTTCTCATCCTGAAGCAAAGTTCTTAACCTGAAGCACTATTTCTGGATTAGCGGAGTCTGTAACCTGAAGCGTATGTAACCTGAAGCGTATGTAAGTTGAGGTACCACTGTATGATGTAAAGTGAGGTGGTTCAGGGTTAGTATGATGTAAGGCAAAGCAAGAGAGAGTCTGCATTGCTGGCTGAAGGGAAGCATTTTTCAGATGACTTGACATGCTTAGAAGGAATGGCTGGTGCCTCTGCATATTTTGGGATGTCAGCTGACTGTGGGGTCTTCTGTGGGGTCAGCTGACAGCCTAGATGGTAGCTGACTGTGGGAGGTCCTGGTTCAACACACCCCTCAGCACCTTAGAGGAAGACACTGGGGTGCAGCTAAACTCCTGATCTCATTCTTTGACTGCAGAAAATGATGAAGGACAATAATCTGGTTCGACACCTGGATGCCTGTGAGACCATGGGCAATGCCACCGCCATCTGCTCTGACAAGACAGGCACCTTGACCACCAATCGCATGACCGTTGTGCAGTCCTACATGGGTGACACTCACTACAAGGAGACCCCTGATCCCAGCAACCTTACACCCAAGAATCTGGATCTGCTTGTGCACGCCATCGCCATCAACAGTGCCTACACCACCAAGATACTAGTGAGTGGGCGCCAGGGATGCCCCACTGCATCCTCAGGCTAGATAGGCCAATGCTGCAACACTACCTTTGGGTGCCATTTGAATGTTAAAAGGTAAAGGTAAAGGTACCCCTGCCCGTACGGGCCAGTCTTGACAGACTCTAGGGTTGTGCGCTCATCTCACTCTAGAGGCCGGGAGCCAGCGCTGTCCGCAGACACTTCCGGGTCACGTGGCCAGCGAGATGAAGCTACTCTGGTGAGCCAGAGCCACACACGGAAACGCCGTTTACCTTCCCGCTAGTAAGCGGTCCCTATTTATCTACTTGCACCCGGGGGTGCTTTCGAACTGCTAGGTTGGCAGGCGCTGGGACCGAGCAACGGGAGCGCACCCCGCTGCAGGGATTCGAACCGCCGACCATGCGATCGGCAAGTCCTAGGCGCTGAGGTTTTACCCACAGCGCCACCCGCGGGCAGCTCAAAGGGATGGAACTCATAAATGTTGTGGAAGACTCTGGCATATTCTCTTGGTCCACTGTAAATCAAGGGAGAAATATCAGTTTTAAGAGCTGGTATGGCATATGAGGATGTGGGTGGCGCTGTGGGTTAAACCACAGAGCCTAGGACTTGCCGATCAGAAGGTTGGCGGTTCGAATCCCCGCGACGGGGTGAGCTCCTGTTGCTCGGTCCCAGCTCCTGCCCACCTAGCAGTTCGAAAGCATGTCAAAGTGCAAGTAGATAAATAGGTACCCCTCCGGCGAGAAGGTAAACGGCGTTTCCGTGCGCTGCTCTGGTTCGCCAGAAGCGGCTTAGTCCTGCTGGCCACATGACCTGGAAGCTGTACGCCGGCTCCCTCAGCCAATAAAGTGAGATGAGCGCCGCAACCCCAGAGTCAGCGGTCAGGGGTCCCTTTACCTTTATGGCATATGAGTGCGAGAGGATCTGAACCATCCTGATTCCTTGGGTTTACCTCCTTGCAATCTGCTTCCCAGACACATTTCCCCCCAGCAAGGCTCCAGTACAGGATATAAACCCAGTTAGAATAAAAAGTGTCTAGTAGATTGGCATAGGATTTTTCCTTTTTATGTTATTGCAGGATGAACAATAATGCTCTTTTAACTTTCTGATGTGTTTTTGCTTTTGTATTACACACGCTTTCCTAATTGTAAGTAACTTTGAGATATTTTATGTAGTAAGCAATGAATAAATGCAATGATAATCATAAACATAAATAAAATAAGGAAGCAAGCCTGCAGGAAGATAGACAGAGGATTTGGGGAGGATTCAACTCTCCTCACCTGCATTCTGCATACTTACGTTGGTTACACAGCTGTATTTCTGTTGTTGTGCTCCCCAAGTAACCCTGGGAATTGTAGTTTGAGGACACTAAGAACTTTTGATCAGAAAGTTGTAATCCACTACAGTTCCCAAAAATCCATGCGGAGAGGAAGCCACAGTATAAATGTATGTGTAGATATTCCTCCAAATTCAAGGCCTGTTGCAGGGCTGAGGTTGTGGGATCCCAAAACTTTTAGTTCAGCCCATTGGCGGAGGAAACGGATGAGGTTTGGAGAACTGAAGAATGAGGCTCTCCTTTCTTATTCTCTGCTTCCTCCAGCCTCCAGAGAAAGAAGGGGGCTTGCCACGCCAGGTCGGCAACAAGACGGAGTGTTCACTGCTGGGCTTTGTGCTTGACCTGCGGCGTGACTACCTGCCTGTGCGTGAACAGATCCCTGAGGAGAAGCTCTACAAGGTTTACACCTTTAATTCTGTCCGCAAATCCATGAGCACCGTCATCTGCATGCCTGATGGCGGCTACCGCCTCTTCAGCAAAGGCGCTTCTGAAATCGTCCTTAAAAAGTGAGTCTGCGCTCCCCTGTATGAGTTTAAATGATGCCCACACAAGTTGTTGCTACTGCCCCGGAATTAGCTGAGTGCTCATTCTGGCTCTGAAATTTGCACCAGCATAACAACAACACTTGAGAATACACGATAATGTATGTGCAGTATCATGCAGTCCTTTGGCAGCATCTCTGCCCTGCTCTTCAACTCCAAAAATGCTTTCAGAGTTGTTCACAATTTAAAACCAATGAAAAGAGCAAATTTTACTAAAACAAGAAAGCTGCAGAGAAGTATACAACACTAATGGCAGTGAGATAAAACAGTGTCAAATTATGTTGTCAGGGAACTGCCATCGGAGCTGGAAGCGGAGGGGAGGCTCCAAAGGGATGGCGGAGAGGGTCCCAGTAGGGAGAGAGGGAGCCCGTCTGCTGGGGAAGGAAATCAGCGTAACACCAGTAGAGAAGGGGGGCAGATGGCGGAATCGGGGAGGAGGCTCCAAAACTCCTCGCCGGAGACCAGCAGAGAGAGTACGGGTACTCCACTCCCCACACCCTCCCTGCGCAGAAGACTTCCGTGCAGGGAGAGTAGGAGGAGACTTGGCGTCAAGGAACTTTTGTGCTGGAAAAAGTTTAAGAAATGCCCACTGATGGATTCTGCCAGCGACTGAGACAGTCACGATGCTGGAGGCTGTTCAGTCAGAAAGGGTTAACCAGGTAACCTAGCCAAGCGTGGCGGCAACTTACGCACGAGCAACCCCTAAACCCATTACATATGTTTTAAGAAGTAAGGCAAATAAAAATGTCTTCACATGGGGAAAGGAAATTTCAGGGCACTTTTGAACTACTGGGTGTCAGTACTGTACTGAGAAGGTTGCCTTACTTCAGAAGGCAGTGAGACCATTGAGAATGTCCAGAAGTCAGAGCCTGGTCTCTGCAGCCACAGCAGGTGCTATGATTCTCCAGCATCTTGACTTCACCCCTGGAGGTGCACTCCATTGTCTATTGAGACAGATGGATGCCAAGAACAACAATCACACTGGAAATGTTCCCCATCTTATATTAGTGCAGCTGGTTATTCCTGCCTAAGTGTAAAACATTACATTTGGCCCTATGTTGCAATTCATATTGTTAGTTTTGGTCCAGTTCTCCAGTCTGTTAAGGTTGTTTTGAATCCCGATGCTGTCTTTGGTGGCATTAGCCCCCAGTTGGAGGTCATCTGCAAATTTGAGGAGCATCACCTCAATTCCTCTATCCAAGTTGTGTATTAAGATGTAGAACAACAACAGGCCTAGGACAGAACCCTGCGGCACCCCTTCAGGCACAAGTAATAAGGAGCCTGGTGGAGCAAGCCGCTGCATATCATGTGTGGCAAAGCTGCATATTCAAGAGAAAATAATCCTCTGTAAACTGTTCCTCTTTACCCCTTTTCCAGGTGCACAAACATTCTCAACAGTAATGGGGAGTTGCGCACCTTCCGGCCCCGTGACCGAGATGAAATGGTGAAGAAGGTGATAGAGCCCATGGCATGTGATGGACTGAGGACTATCTGCATAGCCTACCGCGATTTCCCAGCAGGGAAGGAGCCCGAATGGGACAGTGAGAACGATATTGTAATAGACTTGACGTGCATTGCTGTGGTGGGAATTGAGGATCCCGTGCGGCCTGAGGTAACAGCTAAACTAGGGTGCCTTTTCTGTGAACAAATCCCTGTCTGTCCCTTGGGACTCACAGCCCATCCTGAGTGTTTTCTGGGTGAGGAGAATTGATTCCAGTTCTAAGATCTCAGACAGACAGGACCCTTGCTAATAACAATGACAAAAATATGGATTTCAACCACCTACATGATAGATAGTATGTTGGACTTGGACCCAGAGAGAACTTTGCTAATGCTCCATGAATGCTGCAATTCTGCTGAATGGCACAACAACAACAACCCAGAATTTGTTGCAGAATTCAGCATCCTAAGAATTTCGGCAAAATGGGCATCATGTTTCTAGCTCTCATGGCAGCAAAGGCATAACTAGCAATGCCTACTGAAATTTTAGAAGCCAGAGAAATGGCTAACAGATTTCCAGTAGTTGGAGAAGGAATTCCCATGATTAGCAAAATTAGCAGAATAACTTGCAAATGTAAGAAAATTTGTGCCCGTTTCCTTCATTTGAGTAATATATAGAAGTCAGCTTTACATGGCTTCTTGTTTGTTCCAGGAAGCACCAAGAGAAAAGACCCAGAAGGGGGTTGGGGAGAGACTGATCCTCTCTGGTAACTTGAGCTCAGGGCTCAGGTTAACCCTTTCATGCATGTGAGGGAATCAATAGCTGTATATTACAACAAAACCAGCTAGCAGTTTCAATATGGGGGCAAGTGATCGCTCAGCAAACATGTTGAATTGCAGAAAATCAATGTGAGCCCTGTGCCTCCTTTGCAGGTGCCAGATGCCATTCGCAAATGCCAACGTGCCGGCATCACAGTTCGCATGGTGACAGGAGACAACATAAACACAGCCCGGGCCATTGCCGCCAAGTGTGGCATAATCCAGCCAGGGGAGGACTTCTTGTGCCTAGAAGGAAAGGAGTTCAACCGGCGGATCCGCAATGAAAAGGGAGAGGTGACTGAATAAATTATTTTAAGTGTCTGGAAAGGTGCTGCTCCTAAAATTCCAGGGTGATTCTATCAATAGCAGTGCAAAGTGATAGCAGATTTGAGCCTTCATTTCTAGACCATTGATCATCTTGGTTGCCCTCCTCTGCACATGTTCCAGCTTGTAAACATCCTTCCTAAATTGTGGTGCCCAGAATTGGACACAGTATTCCATCATCATCACTTTTACTTTGTATGCCATCTTTCTATCTTACAATAGCCAAAACCAGGCAGTTTACAAGCTGAAGAAACAAGTATGTACACCTTATAACAATCCAATGCAATACAATACAAAAATGTGATAATAAAACATAACTTTAAAACACGCAATAAAATATTCCAGGTGTGGTCTGACCAAGGCAGAATACAATCGTGCATTATTCCCCTTGATCTGGTCACTAGACTTCTGTTGATGCCACCTAAAATAGCACTTCTTCTTCTTCTTCTTCTTCTTCTTCTTCTTCTTCTTCTTCTTCTTCTTCTTTGCTGCTGTTGACTCATGTTAAGCTTGTGGTTCACTAAGATCCCTAGGACCTTTTTCACATTCTCTCCTGGTCAACCTTATGAGGGCCACATGCCAATGGTGGGCAGGGCCAGAGGCAAAAGTCGGGCAAGTATTAACTGTGACTTTTACTTTTGCACAGCAGGCTAGTTTCTTCATGCTGACACACCCCTCACTATCTTCCATCCAGGCAAGCAAGTAGCATTGTCAGAGTTCAAGGACACATTGCAGCCAGGCAAAAACACTCAGTGAGGGCTGGTGAAGGATGTGGCCTGGAGAGAGTATTGAGGGTCAGGTACTGAGGTTTGGTGGGCTCCAGACCTGAGGCTTCTATTCCCTGGTGCAGACAGCACTGAGCTAAACCAATGGTCAGACTTAGTGAGGCAGCTTCCTGTGTTCCTTTTTCTCTCCTCCTTTTTTGCACACCAGAAGAGGAAGTCAGAAGCTTTTGCATTCTGTTTTTCAGTTTTGAACAAACCACAGGGAAGTTTTCCTAGCTCTGCAGCCTACTTTTCCCCCAGGGAGGAACATTTAAAAGAATTGAATTCTTCTTCCAAAATCGACAGACTTTTACATTGTTTTGTTATATTATTAGCTGCCCTGATAGGTCATACTTAAGGGTGGTGTATAGATCCTTCTATTAATGAATGAAATATGCAACAGTGCAGCCCAGTCTACGGCCTTATTTCTGCCTCAGTCTGCAACAAGTGTGGTCTGTGTCTGGGAAGGTCCAGGGTCTCAGGAGCAGAGCACGTGCTTTACATGAAAAGGGTTCTGGGTTCAGTCTTTAGAGACTCCAGGTAGGACTGGGAAGACCCTGTCTGAAGCCCTGGAGGGTCACTGCCAGTTGGTCCAATCAATACCAAACTCTATGGACTCAATAGAAGGCAGCTCATTTCGCTTTATTAGTGAGTAGTTCTTACTTTAGGGTTACCAGACGTCCCTGGTTCCCGGGGACAGTCCTCGGATTTGCAAATCTGTCCCCGGACAAATTCCATCCCGGAATGTCCCTAGAGTTGCAAATCTGTCCCCGGGTACATGGCAGCGGCAGCCTCAGCAGCCCAGAGCCAGTCTGGTAGCGCAGTTGGCTCTAGCTGGCTTCAGGAGCTGCCTGCTGCCATCACCAGTGCCAAAGGTGAACCGGGGACGTCCAGCAGTACAGATCTCCTGCCCCCTCCCCCCTTTGTTTTGACAAATCGGGGGAGGCTCAGGAGTTGCAGGCTGCTGGCCGTTGTCCAGCAAGGCACATGGTTTCTGTGCCAGGCAAGGTGCAAAGCCCTTTTTTTGCATCCTGCGAAACATAAATGCGCAGAGTTTTTAAAAAAACTGGGCAACAGCCAGCCACCCGCGACTCCCAAGCCTCCCATGACCTGTCAAAACAAAGGGAGAAGGGGGGCAAGAGATCAGGGAAGGCTTGGGAGTCACTGGCAGGCAGCACGCCATCGCCCAGTTTTTTAAAAACTGCGCATTTATGTTTTATAGGGTGCGAAAGAAGGGCTTTGCACCTTTATACAATATGCATGTGTGCTTGGGCCCAGGGTCTTTTGCCTCACCATCCCCAGTACCTGTTGCTACTCAGCTTCAAAAAAAAAAGTGTCCCCAGATTCATTGAAAAAAATCTGGTAGCCATATGTTACTTGTCTCTGCCTCTCTGCCCTGCAGATAGAACAAGAACGCCTTGATAAAATCTGGCCAAAACTGAGGGTTCTGGCTCGATCGTCACCCACCGACAAACACACCTTGGTGAAAGGTAAGAGATTGCCAGTCTCTTTGCCCTTAGTCAATGCAGGGAAGAACAACATGGGGTGGTGGGAGTCAGGACTTTCATGGGGTCTGGTTGTCATTTTCAGCCGGTGAACTCCAAATATGCAGATCAGGTTATCTAAGTCTTACCCATATATGGATGCAAACTTCTCTGTAAAGTCACTGGTATTTATTTGGATGTGTAGCTCACTCACTACTAGCTAACCCACATTCTTGCCCTTGAAGGCATAATCGACAGCACTATCGGGGACCAGCGTCAGGTGGTTGCTGTCACTGGTGATGGGACGAATGATGGACCAGCACTCAAGAAGGCCGATGTGGGTTTTGCCATGGTAAGAGATGCTGAACTGAGTTCCCTGTGTCCACAGGGACATTTCCTTCACATATCCTTTGTCTGTGGGGTCTGCAGACAGGGAGGGAAATGCTTGCCCACGTAGAGTGAGGACAGTTTGCCTGCCCTCGCTCTGAATTGGCATCACATAGCCAGATCCCATTGGCTACATGTTGATGTTTTGTCACTGTCATGCTAGTTCTTTGATCTCCTATTAGCTGGAATCTCATAGCCAGGAAGAAGCCCTTGTGTTGTATCCAGCTAACCTTTCTTCAGAGTAGACCTGGTGAAATCAATAGTTTTTAGTTAGTTAGTTAGTTAGTTAGTTAGTTAGTCAGAGTAAAAGTTCATTGAACACAACCCCTACTATTGAAAATAAGCAAATAATGGTGCAGAACAAACAGCTAATTGAAAAGGGAACAGACCTCAAACAAGAGTGAAAATGGAGTTTGAGGATTCAGGCTGGTGGTTATTCTAGCCCTTAAAAGCACTATTTTTACATCAAAAATGTTCAAACATGAAAATTCAGCACATCCCTAATTTTAACCTTGTTAATCTTTAAATTTACCATACAGCACAGGCTGTAAGTCCTATTGAATTCAATCTCTTCCTTCTGAGTGGACATGTATAGGAGTGCTTTGAAAGCCAATGAAATGGACTCCATCAGATTGTACAAGAACTGAGTAAGATTTGGATCAGTGGTAACAGCCCTGCTTGAAGGGCCAGCAGCGCTGACTGCAAAGCACAAATCTATCTTGCACATTGAAACTCCTGTGATTTTTAAACTAGTAAAGAGGAATAGTCCCAGTTATACATATTCTCTCTCCAATATGGAAATATCTCAGGATCTAAGAATTTCTACAAAAACCTGTGTTTGTGAATCCTGTATGTATAACAGTGCAATGACATTAATCGTGAAGCTAATGTCCTTTCGTTTCTGGAGTTGCAACAAAAATGTGCACTCCGTATATTTGCATTCTGGCAATATATTCAATTGATGCAACTTTTATTTAAACTTTGTGGTCTAGGAACCTGCTCCATAAATATGTATGATCCTGAAAACAGCAAACATTCAGAATAAAGGTACAATATTAGTTTACGAAATTTTAAACTCTGATGCTGAATTCACTTTACAGGACCTGAAATATGGAATCAGGCTACCCAAGTATCCAATCCAAAAATATATCAAAGAAATCTCACTAGATAGCCATGTGCATTTTTCTGCTGCAGAAGATGTCTCAGAGCCTACTGGTCTCAATATAGACTGACAAAAAGGTGAATCCCAAGTGCAAAAGCAAAATGCTGGGGGCAACTGTTTAATTATTTATTTGAAGCTTTTTTTACCCTGCTCTTCAGCTGAAAAGGCTCCCAAAGCAGCTTACATAAACTCAGTAATGATAAGACAGCCCCTGCCCTCAATCTAAAAGACAGGACACAAAAGGAAAAAGGAATGAGGAGGGAAGAGGACAACAAGCAAACTCAGGCACCAGTTCTTAAAGTTGCAAAGTTCTCAAAATGACCAGCTGAGGTGGAAACAGTTGAGAGGAACCACATGGAGCTGGTCTCCCAGCAGAGCTGATGGAGTGGCCCTGTAGTCTCGTCTCTCCTTCTGCTGCAACCTGATGGAATGGCTGCTTCTAGTCCGCATGTTGTGGGACATGTTCAGTCATTGCTCCTTCGGAGGACAATTTCTATATAACAAATCAGTGCAGTGAGCAATTTCACCTTTACACTTGCCAAATATTTTGTCATAACCCAGAAATTTGCACGATGAGTGAATCACAAGAAGCCTGTCCTGGAAGAACTTGTGTAACTGCCAAACAATTTCTCTGAAAATTCACTAAATTCCATTCCATTTGTTAGTGTGAGGGAAAAAATCAGTATATACAAAAGAGAATTCCCGGATCCAAATTTGGGGCAAGTACTCTTTGGTGAGAGAACCCCAATACTGTAGAGATTTTGCATGCACAAAACATGCAACAAAGTAAAGTGTGGAAATATAAACTGTAAAACCTTAAGATGTGCCCTATTAAAGTGAGTTCCGAAGTTTCCCTCTTCCCCTAGCATAGAAAAATACCACACATTTGGAAAATTAAAAATGGTGTACTTATAAAGTCTCCCATGATCAGATTCATGTGCTTTATCCATACAGCATTCAGAAAAAGTTGCACAGGCAGTAAAACTTGGCTTAGTTACAAAGTGGTATAAGTTTCTAAATTATTTGTATAGGAACTAAAGTGGCTTGGTGTGCAGTCTGAGCTGGAGCAACCAGCTTAAACCTCTTCACACCCTGAGCTTCTCAGGTAGACTGAAGAAGAACAATAGGACTGATTACCTATTTCCTCCCAAGGTAAGGGAAGTGGACACAGCTAAACCTGGCAGGACAGCTTACTCTATGGTATTAACCCTTTCAGGCATTAATTAGACTTAAGCATGTTGATTATATGAGGCTGGTTATCCCACACCAGTCATAGATAGAAGAACAAAACAGCAAACATTGGTTGGTTGGTTGGTTGGTTGGTTGGTTGGTTGGTTGGTTGGTTTTTTAAAGACAGATAATTTGGGGAAAATATGAATACCATTCTGGAATGCTTTGGTGGTGAAATATTGCAGGGCTCTCTTATATCTCCCATTAGGTAGAATGCGTCACACCCTTTATTTTAACATTTGTTTTTTATGTTGTTTTAAATTTAAAATCGATCAAACTAAGATAATACACATGCCTAGTGTATTATGGGAATAATGTTGATGAGCAAAACATGTGGGATGTAGAGGGAAATGAGAGGTTACTGTCAGAGTGATGGTTAGGCAGGCTTCTAGGTTGGCAGGAGAAAGGAGAGGTTAAAATATGTTCCATAGACATTTCTTTGCCAGCGCAGGCACATAGTGGAAACTGGTATTGTGTTGAATTGGGCCACAACTTTGATTACAGGAAAGATTACCGCAGCTGCTGAAAGAAAAGAAAGGGGCGAGCATGGGCTGCCCCAACCTTAAATGCCCCCTACTGGTCCCGCCCCCGCCGCCAGCCGATTGGCTGGTGCGGTGAATGATGAATGCTAATGAATCCTGGGATTCCACAAGTCCGCAGGGCTGAGGGTATGAATGGGGCGTGAGCCCGCAACCCCCCCCCCCCCGTATGTCGGGAGTGGCTTTGTGTTGAATTGGGCCACAACTTTGATTACAGGAAAGAGTAGGTTTGGCTCAGGCATTGGGCATGTATAGGAACCTGGTGGGGTCAGCCTGTGTTGGGGAGTTGCCCCCAACATGGATTGGGTGCCATGACCCCACACAGGCCACCATGGGGCAAAGTGTATTGGCCCATTGGGCCCCCTGTGGACTGCTGGCAGAGTCACCCCTCCTGGACCCCTCTAACGGGGTACTCCAGTGACTAAGGATCCAGTCCAATGCCTTATCTGCCAAAGTTGTTACTGTTGCTATGAGGTAGGCAAAAACCTGCAAGCCGGCCAATTTGCTTGCCCAGGAGAAAATTCCTTCCTGGCCCTGAATATGGAAAGTGAGTAAACCATAGCAAGGTCCATACACCACACGCCTGCTCCTCACTTGATCAGGCCCTAACAGACAGGGTGGGTGGCTGGGGAAATCCAGCCTGCCCCTTGCCACTCCTTTAAATAGGCAAGGAGTGGGCTAAGTGCAGCCCCCAAGCCCCTGCCCCTGATTGGCCTTTTGGGCATTGCCTGCCCATACCTGATAGACTGTCGCAGCCAGAGGAGGGGTGGCACCAGGTGACCAACCCCTCCCCTTGTCCGCGGAAGAAGATGGCAGCTTCTCTGGACCCACCACAGCCATGCCATGTGGCAGATGTTGCCCACCCAGAGCCCCAGGTGAGCAGTTATTCTTTGTTAACATCGTTGCTATCCCTTCAGTTTACGGATATGTTCTGCAGATGTGTGATAAATGTAAATGAAGACTTAATATTGAATATGCAATTAAAATGCAGCTACCTGATGAAACACAAATACCGCAATCCGATTAATTATGTAAAGCAAATAAAACTGTATGCTTCAAATTGCAAAGGGATGGATGCAGACTAACCAGTTAGTTGAACACAGATCCCACTGAAATCAATTGAAGAAGTTAGTTGTGTGACATATTTTAAGCCTCATTTATTTTCCTGGGGGAAATGCAACTATAGTCATAACTCGAGTTGAATGTGCTTCAGGTTGAGTGCTTTTGGGTTGCGTTCCCCGCAACCTGGAAGTAACGGAGCACGTTACTTCCGAGTTTCGCCGCTTGCGCATGCGCAGACGCTCAAAATGATGTCACGCGCATGCGTGGAAACAGCAAAATGCGACCCGCGCATGCGCAGACGTGCCGTCTTGTCTTACGTTCCATTCAGGATGCGAACGGGGCTCCAGAACAGATCCAGTTCGCATTCCAAGATACCACTGTAATTTACCTGCCTGGTTACCACCCATAATGTTTTATATTCCCAGCAGTCAAGCTTTGAAAGCGTTCAGAGTTTTCTGGCAAGGTAAATCTTGACATCCAAGAGGAGGAAGTGGTGGAGAAAGGCATGAAATTTGTGGTTGTGTTGTTGGCAGAAAAACTTAACAGGTTACATCTTTTCCAACAAGAGACGATGAAGGCAGAATCAATTCAAGCTCCTGCAGAAGAAGTCCTTCTCTGAATTGCTGGCTTGGTCCTTTGTGCATCAGTGAGGCTAAAGTGCTATTATAAAGTTGACCCACTGGGCCCAAGGGAGAGAGTCGGTTGAGGATTCTTGTCATAAAGTACCCTTCATTTTGTGCCATTCCCAGGGCATAGCAGGCACTGATGTGGCAAAGGAGGCCTCTGACATCATCTTGACTGACGACAACTTCTCCAGCATCGTGAAGGCAGTGATGTGGGGGCGCAACGTTTATGACAGCATATCCAAATTCCTGCAGTTCCAGCTCACAGTCAATGTGGTGGCAGTCATTGTGGCCTTCACTGGCGCCTGCATCACACAGGTAGGCTTCATTGCTGTGCAGTAGTGGCAAAGCCTAGAGGAGGCTGGCCCATGAGGAGGAAGAGGACACTTGCCCCATCGACCTCAGCCTGCCCTCAGCCAGCCCCGGGAGAGGATTTCTGAGTGTGTTTGATGCAATGTGCTTAGAAACTTCCCCACAAGTAGGAGCCAGCCATATCAGGCTTCCTGATTGTGGGGACCATTTCTGAGGTGTGTAAACCCTCTTCACCAACCTGCATAGAGATCTGACATGTGTGCCCTGGGACATTGGGGGTGGGGTACTTGCATGTCCCTTGTATGTTTGTTCCCATCCCTGTTCAACTGCACATTTAAGCAAATGCCTGCTGAACATAGCTAAGGTTGCCCGAAAATTAGGAAATTACACATTTGGGAGTTGTAGGTGTATCTCATAGCCTTGCTGGAAAAGAGTAGCCATATGGGGAGAATCATGGAAAGGTGCGTGGAAAATGAATGTTTGAGGAGCAGAGAGGTTATGCTGACATGAGAGAAATGCTGAATACAGCTGCTCTATTATATATGGCTCTTGGAGAATATCAAGTCAGGCTCTCCTATAAGAACATACTTGAGAACCACACAGGAAGCAGATTTGAGGCCCAGCTCCATGTTCTGAGCAGAATGTTGAGAAAGTGGGGAGAATTCTGGGGATGAGTAAATTGGTCCTTTAGGAGTAGTTGCTCACCAGGCTCCAAAGATAATCTGTGAGGTAAGGCCCATTTGTCTTGAAGGATAAAGGTAAAGAGAACCACTGCTTTGTGGTTTTGAATCAGGAATATTTCAGAGACATAAAAAACCCCAGCACCCTTAACAGGGGTGTTTTTAGCAGACAGGAAAAGCGTGAAGAAACACCTCCAAATTTGATCTGTAAATTCTCTCTGGATTGAACTAATCCTGTGGATGATTTAATACCGGTCCAGTTCATTGCTTTCCATGCCCTAACAAACCTTTGCAAAGTGGATTGAACCAAAATAAATGCAAGCATATGAGGCTCCCTTAGATCATTGGCCCGTCTAGTCTAAGGACTTCCTGAGCCAATGACTACTCTGACTTCCAACAGATCTCCAAACCCTCAGGGCAGAACTACCTATTTCAAGACAATTATTGAGTTCCCATCCCATTCATCCTATGGCACTGGATACTTCCAGATAGAGGAGCTTATTTATTGTGGAACTGATGTATGCATGCTTTTTCACAGCATCTGTACAATGTCATCGCCTTCAAAATGGCCATCCCTGCCCATCAAATACCTGACGTTCCAATGCCGCAATGCCCCTTCATCTCCACTTCTCTTGCAGGACTCTCCACTCAAAGCAGTTCAGATGCTGTGGGTCAACCTGATTATGGACACTTTTGCTTCCCTGGCTCTGGCCACCGAGCCCCCGACAGAGGCCCTGCTGCTGCGCAAGCCGTACGGACGGAACAAACCCCTCATATCCCGCACCATGATGAAGAATATTTTGGGCCATGCTGTCTACCAGCTTGTTATCATCTTCACCCTCCTCTTTGTGGGTGGGTTCTTAGGCCACTGAGCTGGAGTTGGGAGGGGCAGGGGTGGGTCTGGGTCCATGGTTCGGAGAGGGAGGAGGGAGAGGCTTGGTTTGCTGGGCGTGGTGTCTTCTCTGGGATGCACTGCTTTACACACAACCCTTCCTCACCCGCAGGTGAGGTTTTCTTTGACATTGACAGCGGCCGCAATGCGCCCCTGCACTCCCCGCCCTCAGAACATTACACCATCATCTTCAACACCTTTGTCATGATGCAACTCTTCAATGAGATCAACGCCCGCAAAATTCACGGCGAGCGCAATGTATTTGATGGCATTTTTGGCAACCCCATTTTCTGCAGTATTGTGCTGGGAACCTTTGGCATACAGGTACAGGCCTGGTCTAAATGGATGTGAAGAACCAAATTGAGTTGGGGCGGGAGGGATAGACAAGATGGATGGATGAATACATGGATGGAAATGTGTATTGGTGGCTGGCTGGCTAGTTTGTTTGTTTTTTAAAGAAACTGGGCTTTTCATACACTCTTGCTTTAATAATAAATTTTATCATACAGTGTTGCTTGTGCACATCGTGTCTTATGAGGTTTCATAGGCCCCTGGCTCCATAGGCTGTTGTTGCTATCATATCAATATATCAGGCATCTTAACTGAGGTTGTGTACACACTAAACCTTTAAAGCATATCCGAAGCACATTTCCACTTCAAAGAATTCTGGACACTGTCATTTGTTGAGGGTTGCTGGCAGTGCTATTTTTCTAGAAAAAGAGGTGCCAGGACTCAATGCCTCCCTTGTTCTCTTAGAATGGCAAGGGCACCCACCTGAGAAGTGCCGGAACGGAGCTCTGGTGAGTTCCAGCTTGGGGGGGGGGGAGCCCTGGTTGCTGAACATTGTAACTCCATGCGGGGTAAATGAGTGTCCAGAATTCTTTGAGGGAAAGTATGTGTTTTGAATATGCTTTAAAGGTGTGGTGTGTATACACAGCCTCAAGTAACAAAAGGGGAAATAGACAGGTCCCTGCCCCAAGGAGCTTACTGTATAAATGTTGAAAGTGAGGAAGATGAGAGAGGAAGGGAAAGGGGGAGGCAACGTTAACAGAAGACAGGTGTGTGCAATTGCATATATATGTATTTAGGCTTCACTTTCTCTTGTGGGGTGAGGAATGAGGCACAGCTGGAATAAACATCTGTTGCTCTAGCCCCATATCCCAGCAGCCCTTGAAAAAGTCAGGACAAGACTGTGGGCATTCTGGTTAAGAACACGAGAAGAGAAAATTCCATAGCTCTGCCTCAGAGCTATATGGCTGCCTCAGAGAGAGCTCTGGCTCCTTGTATCTTCATGGTTGTCTTCTTCAGACCTCTGGTTCTCCTTGCCCTGCTGTTACATTTGTGACTCTTTCCTTCAACTTGGGGTGCTTCCAGACATGTTTTTGTTGTGGGATTGGTTCTCATGCATGCAAGTTGCAGTGTCCACACAGTGTTATTGTCATCAGTATTCCAGCCCATATTTTTTGTTATTTATTTAATGTATTTGTATCCCACCTTTCTCTCAAGCTGGGAACCAAGGTGACTCTTAATCCAGATTAGCCCTTTATGGGGAAGTCCAATATAATAACAACAGCTTTGTTGCCAATGACCCACTGACAGTATTAAGCAGCCTTGCTTGTGTGCTCTCCGTTCCCATTGTCAGTATTGCCCACTCTGATCTTCCTGGATCCAGTCTTTTATCTCCTCTTGTCTATATGCAGTCCTGCCTGGCCACCAGCTCCCATGAGCCCAACCTTTCCCAACAGCATGTATAGATACGGAGGGTGGGTGTGTATAGCGTCTATAGATACGGACAGGAGTTTGTCTCACTCTGCCTCTCTTCCCCCCCCCCCCCCAGATCGTCATTGTGCAGTTTGGGGGGAAACCGTTCAGTTGTTCGCCGCTGAATGCGCAGCAATGGCTCTGGTGTCTCTTTGTGGGCTTTGGGGAGCTTGTCTGGGGACAGGTAAGAAAACCCTTCTTCTGACATCTTCATTTGTGCTCATCATTGGATGGTTTTGGAGTGAAGGATAGGATATTACTTATTATTTATCCTTCCTCTTCCTCACTTGTGTGAGTTTAATGTCTGGTTAGCAGAGTGCAACATAAAATGCAGAAACTTCTGGAACAAGGTTGCTTAACCTTGTTAATAATTATCCAGGACGGATAATATTTTAGCAGGCTGGGCCTTCCCCCTTTTCATCCCTCTAAACAAAAGAATCACACAGAAGCCGTGTCAGGATAAAAATATTGTTTGCTTACATAAAGTTTCAGACTTGGTTACAGCAGTGAAAACAAGACAGGCAGAATATATTTCTATGCTATAAAATGTATGGTTGAGATAAAAAATGAAATGTGCTCTCAGGAGAACACAGAAAAGCATCCTTTCTCTTCGTTCCATGGCAAAACGAGACTGAACTCTGAGGAGAGAGGAAGTGGTAAGGATTCTTTTCCTTTGTTCCCACTGGGGCAAGCAGGAGATGAGACCTCACAGAGTGTCCTCTCTGGGAATTTACAGAGGAACTCCATGTGTCTTTTAACCTTTAATTATCTAGCAAAAATTGAAATATTATTTTGTCTCAAGATTATTTCCCACACTCGTGTAGCATTTAAACTTCCCAGCCGGGCTGGAACACTGCACTATCCCAAACAAGTACAGAAAAACTGCTGGGTGCATAGTGCAGAACTCAGCTTCCTAAGAATCTTTGCCTTCATTTTTTTAAAACAAAAATCAAGTTCCTAGCCCTTGTGGCTGCAAAGATGGCACTGAAATGCACAGTAAAATCTCAGAAGCCATGAGTATGGTTTCAGTGTCCTGATTGTATCCTGCCTCTTTCCTATGACTTGGAGAAACAGAATATATCTTGCGAACTCAGCACAAATATATGAAAATTTGCTTACTTTGCATAATGTACATATGTTACAGACTCTAGTTTTTCTATGCACAGAATTTTGGCTACCTTGGGCCTATGGTGTTTTGCTGCCCTGGGCAATGGAAGATGCCATTGCATGCATGTGCTGCCACCTGAGGCAGCCTGAGGAGTAAAAGGAGGCAGGCAGCTGGGCTTATGCACTGCCTGAGGCAACTGCCTCATGGGTTGGGTGGGCTGGCCCTGGCTTGGGAACAAAATGCTGATCTGGCTGACTAATGTTTAGGAAGGACTGTGCACAGAGGCAGCATATGTAGGTACTTCTTTCTTGCTGTCCTGAGAAATTGCAAGCCACTGAATCCTGCCCACTGGCACAACAACCGTGTAGGATTAGAAGATCGAGCTTATTATACCTCCTCTTTTATTGTGAGTTGTCAGAGTGCACCATATAGTCAGATACTAAAGACAGGCATGCCATGTTCTCTTGAAACTGGGGAAGTACCAATCAACACCCTTGTTTAGCTCTAGTATGTCCAGTTAATGAGCTGACTCATTAACTGGACATACTAGAGCTGTGGGGTGGTCACTTTTGGAGCTCTGGCATATGATCCTCAGTGGGCTCCCCAGAAAGCAATGGAGCCCTCAGGCCCTACCTACTGTCGGCAGTAGGTGGAGCAGAGTGGAGGGGCTTCTCACCTGACCCCTCTGGCAGGGGTCACTGAGAGAGGGCCAAGGCGCTGGGGAGTCTGTCTAGTGCTCCCACAGATATGTTTGCAGAATGCTGGCCTTGCCCCTCGTATCCTCTGGGTAAATTGCAGCGACTCCAGTGCTGTGAGGTCAGGGTGATCCACCACTGTCTGAAACCCATGGCCTCACCTGAAGAGCTAGAATCTTTTTGTAAAATAAATAAAATAATGCTGTGAATCTTGGGAATTGTAACCAAACATTGCACACAAACGCATGCAATCAAGCAAATTTATACTTGTAAAAAAACCCTGGTTTTGCTGCTTCTGGAGGTGATAGTGCTAGAGAGTTTGGGCAGATTCTGGGGATCTTGATAGGGATGAAAATCACATGGTAAATGGTTGAGTGCTCCTTTTCTGCCCTGCTAATACTTCTCTCCAAATTCCCCACTCCTAAAGTGGCTTTTCATTTAATGTAATTTAGTAAATGGCATTGAGATCAAGTAGCATGCATTCGTAAGAAACACGTAATTAGCCGAGCAGATTCAGCTCTTGCCGTGGGTAGGCAAACTAAGGCCCGGGGACCGGATCCGGCCCAATCGCCTTCTCAATCTGGCCCGTGGACGGTCCAGGAATCAGCATGTTTTTACATGAGTAGAATGTGTCCTTTTATTTAAAATGCATCTCTGGGTTATTTATGGGGCATAGGAATATTTCTTCAAAATATAGTCCGGCCCCCCACATGGTCTGAGGGACAGTGGACTGGCCTCCTGCTGAAAAAGTTTGCTGACCCCTGGTTTAAGCTATGCAGTCACATAGGGGCTCCTAACCTACTGGTGCAACAGACATCTGCTCCCTTCTGCAGGTCATTGCCACCATCCCCACCAGCCACCTGAAATGCCTGAAGGAGGCAGGGCACGGCCCCGGGAAGGATGAGATCACTGATGAGGAAATGGCGGAGGACGAGGAGGAAATTGACCATGCTGAGCGGGAACTCCGTCGTGGCCAGATCCTTTGGTTCCGTGGCCTCAACCGTATCCAGACCCAGGTATGAGATAATGGGGAGGCGCCTCCCGCCAGGGCTTCCCTCACCCTTGCCCAACCCTTCCTTTGCTTTAGCAGTTGACTTGACGATAAACCTTTCATCTGGTTATCTCCTACCCCATCCCAAGACACCTGATGCTCATGCCTCGGGGAGAGAGAGAGAGACCTCCAATGCTGGTCTAAGCATTTCATTTCCCCGCTGCCTTGTTTCAGCAGAAAGAACTAATGAATGCAGTGCTTGGATGCATGAACAGAGGCAGCCTATAGAAGCAGAAATGGGATGACGAGTTGCTGGGTGGTTTGGAAATGCCCAGAAAAATGAGAACAAAATATGTGGCTGAGATGGTAGCAGCAGAAGTGGTGGTGGTGGAAGTAGCAGTAATAACAGCAGTCATAGAGTAGTCCTTTCTATAGTTATCAGGTAGGTTATTTGAATTCCCATATTACTTTTAGGGAATGGAGGATAAGAGATGGTGACTTGTCCAAGGCCATCCAGTGTGGCTGTAGCTAAAGACGAACTCAGTTCTGACCTCTCTGATAGTAGCAAGGATCCCTGCAAAGCCACATGCTCCCTGAGCTGAGCCCATATTCTGTGCTCTTGCCCCATTTGAAGGGCAGAAGGCAGCCATAGTAAGGCCAGCAGAACATGCACTGTCTAAATCACCCAATATGTTATGCTCCATGCTCCATTGCTCCTGTTTTTTCAGGAACCCAGTGTGGTATTAAAGCTGGGGCATCAAACATAAGATCCTGCAGTGTTTTCACCCTACTATAGTCTACACAATCTGAACATTTCCAGGGCCACAAAGCCACAGGCTGGTGTACTTACTCTCAAACCAAGCCACTGTTGGCAATAGTCCAAGCTATTTACATTAAATTGGTATCTGTGCCTAAGACACACTTGCAAATGTCTGTGTGCTTCTTTGTACTGGGGAGGTGCAGCAAGCAGATTCCAGGAAGCAGACTTTTGTTATGAACCCTCTTTCAAAGCCTCTTTTCTTCCCTGCCTGGAATATATTTTAGAAAGTGAAGCACTTGCAGTGGGTGGTGGACAAATGGAATGTAGGTTTGGGGGAAATGATATTTGTCAAATTGAAGGAGAATGGGCATTTCGGTGGTGGAGTGATGAGGAATTTGGCCCTTCAAGTCATTTGGGTTTTATATCCCTTCATCTTACTAGTGGCAGGAACATACCTCCCTGTAGATTAATGATGTCTATAGTCCCCATATGGTGGTGACTGCACTGAGTAGCATCTAGAGCCTCAAAGTATGAACATGCACCTTGTTTCCTCTGGAAGACAGTCCTTGCTTTCCTTATAGCCAGATTTTACAAGTTTGCCACAAGAAGAATAAACTATGGAGATCAAATTCTGCAAATGTGCTTAATTGACTGGGTAGTTAGTTTTCTACCACACCCATAAATCATTCAAATGTGATTTATTAGACACAAGTTTCATTTGGCACCTACAACAGTGACACGGTGGATGTTTTCATCCAAGTTTTTTCTCAGAGTAGACCTATATAAGTTAATGAACATGACTAAGGGCTCATCCACACTTCCACTTTTCTCATGCCCAGAAAGCAGTTTTCTGCTTAACCCACTTTCTAGGCATGGGTCCAAGCAGTTCCCCCCTTGACTTGCTCCTTTCCCAGGGAAAATCCCCTCTTTAGCTGTAAATCTGATGACAGTCTACAGAAAACCTAATTGCTGTTTGCTCTGATGGAGCGCTAAAGAGCAGTTTTCCCCAGGGAAAAGCAACAGGACAACAGGAAGTATGGGTAAGCCCTAAGTCAGATCCATTAATTTCAGTAGGCCTATCCTGAGTAAATCTTAGTTGAATACCACCCAGTGACACTAATATTATCCCAGTTATAAGGAAAAGAGGTATTCACAGAAAATAGGCACTGTGACACACAGAAAAGAACTCCTTCCATAGTCACTGGAAACCTTGCAACTCTCCTCCAAGTCTCAGGCTGCTTCCACACTAGGGGTTTATTCTGGAACTGCCATTCTTTGTCCACTTACTCTTTTAAGGGACATCTACATGACATTGTCATTAAACTGCATCTGCCCTATATTTTCCCTGTACTTTTTTCAACTTCTTTTGAGAGCCCACAAATGCCAACATTGTTTGAATAGAATGGAACTGCTGCAGAGGCATGTTAACTCTACTCTTCTGTCCTTCTTTTTATCTTTTTAAGAAATGTGGTTTTGATGTGTGCAGTGACATTTGGGGCAACTGAGCCCTAATCTGCCACACCTTTTCACCTTAGAACACTCATTATTACCTTTCCATCTGGCTCCATTTTAGCAGTGTGTTGATTTTTTTTAAGCTTTACTTTTAGATTTGTGTTAAAATGCTTTGTCACATTAACAAAAAAATAAGAGCAGCGACACAATAACACTTCAGTGAAAAAGCATTCTACTGCAAATGTTAAAATTAACAAATAAAATAAACATGCTGCTGAAATGCATTTTTACACTGCTTCCACGTGGCAGTTTATTGTAGCAGCCTTGGTGCTGCTCATACATACAATTTTTGTGCAGCACCCACTCAAAGTCGTCTTCATCAAAAGGGAACCTGTGAAAATGATAAATAGGGATTAAATGGGGGGGTGTATGGGACATCTTTTTGATGATGATGTTGTTGTTGTTGTGTGGATGCTGTGAAAAACTTGGAAGCATGAGCAGAACAGTGGGCTTATCCACACTAAAGAGTGGGGCAAAATGCAAGTGTGGCTAAGCCCAGTGTCCACAATAACCTGCCTTACTTTCTTACCCATAATGCTATGTTACGCCCTTTAATATGGACAGAACAGAATAAGATGTACATACTCCAAAAGTGCAATGCTGAGTGAAGTATGGGAAGTCCATTTCAGTTTCACATGTTGTTTAAAGCAGAAGAGCAATGTCTGGGTAGCTCTAATAGCCTACAGTCTGGAAGCACCCTCAGGCAACCACTTTTACTTCATCAGGCTTGTAAACAGCCATGAGGTCCAGAAACTTGTGTCTTATTTCTAAAAGGCAAATCAAATCTAGGATTATCTGGTATCTGACATCAGCACTGAAGATCAAGTACCACAGTCTTAGCTCTGCAATAAAAGAATGCAAGATTATACTCGGACATAAAACCCACCTGGGGGCAGGTTGTACCACCTCTAGCCATTGTGGGGCTTCTGTGCCACACACTTCAAACTAGGTCCATGTGAGAGGAATGATTTCAAGACAACCATGTCTAGCTTCTATGTTCTAACAACATGCTTTCTGATTGCAGCCCTTCCCCACCCCCCTCCTCCCTTCCCACTTCCTCAAACTGCCTTAAAGTGGGGGTGGGACATGTGCCTGGCAATTTTTCTTTCCCTTTAGCAAGTCAAACAAAAGGTGGTTTGTTCTTGCCTTAAGACTTGATGCTCATGGGATCTCAGAAGTTCTCAGGTCTGGAGCATGATGAGGAATGACCAATGGCATGTTGCATAGCAAAGTTGTTGCTTAATGGATGAAATAAAATGAATAGAACCTGGAATCCCAACTCTTCTCCTGCACCAGCTCCATTCCATGTAAATATGGCTGATTCCAAGGCATCCCAAAGTGAGGGAGACTGTTCAGCTGTCCCCATCCTCTTGTTTCCCTTTTCTAAGAAGAAAACAACACACACTCATATGCAGCATGTGTCAGCAATGCAATGCAACCCAGGGATCCTGGTTTTGCTCCATACGGTAAACTTCACAAGACGTTCCCCTACAGGAATGAAGGAGCAGGGCTTCCAGAATGGAGTGTAGGGCTTCCAGGCAGGCCCAAGCCCCAGCTCTTTCACTTTTAAGCACTGTGCCTTATCCCCAGCCTGCTAAACCGGCTTTATCCTGTGAGATGGTGGCAAAGCATGGCAGCAACCTGGTGTTAATACCAATCTGCATCAACTTGCAAGGTGGAAGCATTTCCCAAGAGGCCGGCTAGCTGTTAAAGAGGTAGGATGACCATGTGTCTTGCTCTGCAGGGGATAATCCTGTACCTGAAGGGCTGTCTGTCTGGTCCTGACCCTGTTTAAAGAGCCCTGTCTTGAAGTTGCCCATCAATAGTTAGCATATAGACTGTGCAGACACACAGAGCTCAGCTAGTCATGGTTTTCTTCCCTGCTATGGTGAGATGTGTTGTATTTTGACTTAAATTATAGTAATTATTTCTAAACTTGCACCTATACATATAAACTAGCATATACAAATTGTATGCAATCTGTGTCCTCCTTTGTCCTCCTTTTTGGCTGATGCGTTTGCTTTTTTTGTGGTGCCAGCCTAGGAAGAAGGGAGCAGGGTGCTTCCTGTGGTTCAGAATATGCCTTGCATAAAAAGATGACTGGCCTCAGAACGATGGAGGCGCTCCTGCATCCAGCTGCTCATCCCATTTGCACCAGCAGGAGATCAAGAATTCCTAACTGGTCCATGGCCTTCCCTCCATTCCCTGATGGATTCATTTGGTTTTATAATAATATACACAACCTTTGCTACAACCTAATGAGGACAAGTTCCCCATTGCATAACTGGGGGGAAGTGCAGCCAAGAGAGTGACTTGCCAAAGGCCACCTCAGTGAGTCCATGTCTGAGCTAAAACTCTCACACTTAATTTATTTTCCCTGGCTTTGCGCCACTGCTCACATGTTGCTGGTAGTCATAAAAAAGTGAAGGTGCAATGAAGGTGAGCTTGCAGTGTGACTGAAATACTCCACAAGACTGAGAATTGAGAGAATTGTGATTTCTGCAACAGAAGAAATTCATCACATGTTCCATACAACTGCCTATATTTGAGAACTGCTAACGGCAGTCAGATTTTTGTTTCTTATTCTGGTACTTCAGATGGCCACCTGTCATGGATGCTCTTGTTGAGATCCCTGCATTGCGGGGGGTTGGACTAGGTGATCCTTGGGATCCCTTCCAACTCCTATATTCTATGGTTCAGTTATTTATGCATGGTTCACTGAAGGGCTCTTTCCCTCCCCCACCATCCCTTTCCCCTGTGGCATCACTGAGCCCCCTAGACATAGTTCTCAGTCGGGTGCATGGGACACACCTTGTTCATACATTCAGTGCAATTCAAATGGTAAGGCTTTCTATGGACTATCACTATACCATTTCCTATTGCAGGTGTTGTTTACATACTGGAATGATTCCTCCTACAATAAAAATAAAAATAAATGACACATCCTTGCATTTAGAAAAATGGCATATCAAGGCATGTTTTCCCTGACATACTAGTTTTCTACTTGTGCAAGTTT